AAAGAGACAAATTTTTAATACTTATTCCATAAAAATTTAATGCAAATAAATATAATACAAATAAATGTTTTATTGAAAGATCGCCTTTTCTAATTTAATTGTGGGATACATATCGATCCTGATTTATGACATCATTATTTATTAAAAAAACTTGGCGCTGCTAAACCAAATATTAATTGCGCTCTTCCTCTTTCCTTACAAAAGTGTTAAACTCTTTCTTTCTTTTGTGCATACGTGTGTGTATACGCGTTCGCGTGTGAATTATAAAATAGGGATTAAAGTTAATTGAAAGTTTAGATTGTATATTTCAGCGGTTTAGCAGCGCCAAATTTTTTTAATAAACAATGATGTTGTGAATCAGGATCGATATGTATCCCACAATTAAATTAGAAAAGGCGATCTTTTAATAAAATATTCATTTGTATTAAATTTATTTGCATTAAATTTTTATGGAATAAGTATTAAAAATTTATCTCATTAATATTATTATTTCCTTTATTTCTTTCGATAAAATTTTATGCTCGATTGTTATAAAATTTTAATATAAAAAATAATAAAGTACCTAGTTTGTATAAATATTCAGTTTAGTTGACGTCATTTGATGATATCATTACTTTTGTAAAGAAGATACTTTAGAGGGAGGGGGGAGAAAATAAAAAAAATTGTTTTAATAAAAGGTATCCAGATAATTAAATTATATAAATCTTGATTGAATGACGTACATTAATACTGAAGAATGTGTATTTGATTTATCTAAACTCGCGCGCACACACAAAGCTCTTTCTCAATTAATTACTGATTGGTAATTACTGATTTTAATTAATTACTGATTGGTACTCGCGAGTGGTGTGCACTTAAGTGCAAGGCAATTGCCAAGGCAATTGCAAGACAATAGCCAAGGCAATTGCCAATTCCTGCCTTAAACACTCGTACTGATCCAGAAGGTATATGCAGACAAACCGGAACTTTTGAAAACATTAAAATACAATCAGTAAAGGTCAGTTGGTCCAAGAAACCTTGAAAGATGAACATATAAGAAGCCCATGTCCACAACCAAATAGAAACATTCGTCGGAAGAGTCAATCTAGACGTTCAGTGAATCTTACAGTTTGCGTATTCAGCCTTATAGGATTTGAATTATCTACAACTGAAGAATGCACGCTCCGTAAGTCATCTTTTCGTTACATTTTTATTAATTTTACTGTATGTCCGTTTGTAATAACAATATATCCCTGTTTTAAACGCATAAAATATTTAATATACACAAACTCAATATGGAATTTATATAAAGATAATTTCAAACAAGAAAAACATCTACTTTCTGAGTTAACAAGTATATACAAGTGAAGAAATATTCTATTGTAGAACCTCTACACACAGTTAAACCGACCGAGAGAATTGTGTGTAGCGTTTGCATGTAAGCGAGCAGCCGTGTATGTATGTACGTACACGGCTGCTCGCTTGTATGCGTTATGCCCTCTCCGACCACAGCGTGCTGCAAAAGTGGCGGAGTCTGCATCGCTGCAGTGCAGAGTATGAATAAGTTGTCTTAGTAATACCGTAACATGTTGCTTTTAAAACCACAGTGCTGCAGTTGAAAAAGCCATGGAGAAACCAAGAATCTATATCGAAGGTAACGACATACAAAAAAGTCATGTATTATCTGTAATTGAAGAGTATAGCGAAAATTTAATGAATGTACATGGAAAGTGTCTGGAAATTGGTTGCGGTCCCGGAGATATAACAAAAGACATTTTGTTGCCGTCTCTTGGCTCAAGTGCACACATAATTGGTAAAAGAATAATAAAATATAGAACTATAGAAAATCAAGACTATAATTGAGTAATAAGTAATTATTTTATTGCATCATTGCGTTTCATGAAGGCGTGGATATTTCCGAGCCCATGGTCAAATACGCGAATGAAAAATATGGTGATGAAAAACGGCTCCAATTCGAGGTACTGGATATTGAAACGAAAAATTTACCTAAAAAATATATTTCTGAATTCGATCATATATTTTCGTTTCACACTTTGCACTGGTGCAGTGACATTCGGTAAGCAAGTATTATATACAATATTTAAGAAAAAGTATATTTCTACTTTTTTCATAAACGAGCTTTATTACTAAACTTTTTAAGCAAGTGTAAATTCTTTTCTTTAAAACATATTGCACATGAGTGTGCATCACTCTTAGGATAGAACAATTAAACAAATTTACGTACACGGTATTATTTTACATTTAGCACATATTTGTTTTTGCTTATGAATAAATTTATCATTTTACACATATATTTTAAAAATGTATATAGTTTTTAAAATTAATTATCTTTATTTACTTTATTTAACAGACACGTTCTTAAAAACATTTATCAAATGCTACAACCCAATGGATTCGCATTTTTGCAAATAGTAGCAGCTCAAGATTATTTGGACATTATGGGGAAGTTGATACGAGACATCCGCTTTGCACAATATGTACCGGTAAATATATTATTAAATTACAAATATTAATATTTGATTTGTATTTCATTTTATATTTTTATTTTTTTACTTATTTTGTTACTTTGTAACAATCTTACTATAAATTATTATGTTTACCTTTTTGTAGGAGCACATAAGAAACATTTTACCGTATCAAGAATTCAATAATACGCGTAAAGGATTCAAAGAATTACTTCAAAGTGAAGGCTTTACTGTTCACCATTGCAGTCTTCGGAATGAAGTGGATTTTGAAGAAAAAGCAGAACCGTTTATAGGTAAGTCAAATTGAAAATAAGCAAAAAGTAATTTTACGTTAAGGGATTATTAATTCCGTTAAAGAATTTCCTTTATATCACTTTTTTTTATTAAAACTATAATATTAGCTATGTTAAAAACATCAACATTTTTGTAATTCTGTATACGTTAATTTTAAACTTGTGCATAACATGTATGTTATTTAAAAGGCACGCTGTTATCCATCACGCATTTTCTCCAAGATATGCCGCAAGATCTGGTGGAACAATTCAAGCATGAAATTACATATGAATATAAGAAAAAAAATAATTATAAAACAATATATAACAATAAGGAACGTACAATACATGTAGTCAAAGTATTACTAATTTATGCACAAAAGATATAGTATGTAATTAATAGAAAATTACTTAAACTTATATCGTCGAATGATAAATCGTAAAATAATAAATTTGGAAAATTATAGAATCCTTGTGTGTAGCACCGTATTAGCACTTATAATTAATAATTTGTTATACATCTCCCATCCATTCGCATATAAAATGTGTGCGGGTGCGTATTTGTGAATTTCTTAAACAATGTTTAATAAAAAATTGCAAACAATTATAATATAATACACATAGTTTGATTTTATTTCATACAGCGAATTTTATTTCATCAGACATTTTCAATTAATTGTCTCACATTGTCTTACATACAATTAATAATTATTTAGTTTTGCGTGAAGAGGTACAGTGTCTCAGTATTGCGATCAATTTGAGCGACACGTTGTAAGAATCCAATTACGTTTTACATCACGGAATTGTTCACCTAATATGTAGAAGTTTAGGGAAACATCTATTCACTTCAACGATTAATAGCGTGGGCACTCTATAACTTGTTTAATGGAATGGGTTTCTTTTGTGACTTGCTGTGTGTGCTAGTCCCTTTCTAAAAAAGAGATGTTACCAGCGCGAATGTTAATATCGAACAGTTTAGGCCTCTTTTCCGCGATGCTGAGTGGTTTTCTCGAAGCACGGTGTGATTCACTTCTCTTTTAGATTCGTCTCATGTTTCAGCTTGCATGTGAATTTTGACAGTTGTGCAAAAATATACTTAATCAAAAAACGTGAACGAGTTTCAACTCAACTAATGTCTGTCGTTGATTGGCTGCCTACTTTATTATCCGCTATTAGTTAGTTATAAACTATTTTCAGATTTATGTATTTATAAAAATTAACATAATTTGTATATAAATAAATACAAAAAGATCACATTAATTAGAAATATTAATAATAAAATGTTGACCTAAAAATTAATAAAAGACATAATTTGTATATAATTGAAAAAAAGATCGCATTAATTAGAACATATTAATAATTAAAATGTTGACCTCAAGATTTAGAAAAGCATTTTACAAAGTTTTTTACAAAATCAGACGTAGGTAATATTTCAATTAATATATTTAATGTGTAATTTTTTGTTTGTTAACTATACGTATATATACATGTAACAATTTTATATACATTCCATAATATACATAAGACAATATAATTAATTTGAATTAATTAATAAAACGTATCAATTTAAATATAGAATTGAAACTGTGATTACATTGTTGATAAAATAGCACTAATAATATTCTTGTTGCAGGTATGAACAAGGCAAAAATTCCCAAAATTGATGGTCGCGATATGTGGCCAGCGTTAGTATCCGAAAGATTTAGTCTTAGACAAGAGGTGCTAATAAACATCGATGATATCGCTGGCTACTCAGCTATTCGTCGTGGTAATTTCAAATATGTGGACGGTGAAACGCAGTTGCGTTCCAACTGGATAGGTGACTCCGGAAAATCACCTAACGAAAATCGACCGTCGTACGATCCTGAAAAAGTGCTACATAGCAAAGCCGGAATTGCTATCGCTCAGATAACTAACGCGCGAATATCAGAGCGGAAAAGAAGAAATGTTATAGAAAGATTAGAAGAGAATATACTGACTTCTCACAAGATTCTACAATTAAGGCATCAGGCTGAAATCCATTGCAACGTGACGGAACAGGAAAAGGTAAATATAAAAATTAATACAGGAATTTAGAAAAGCATTAAAGTTTAATCATAAAAAATTATTAATCGCATTGTATCTCGGTATTTAAGTGTTTCATAGCTGTTAATTTCTTTAAGAAGTCTGTTTAAGATCTTATCTTAAACAATATTGATAAAAGCATCCGCTTTTTCAGAACTTTGAATTTAATATAAATAATAGAAAATGTTCTAAATGAAATATTCACATGTACAAAAGATATGCCATAAACACATGTTACGACTTAATTAGCAACAATAAAATACAGATTTTCGCAATTTTTAATTACAATCAAATTCGAAAGTACTGCTTTTAAGATATTTAAAAAACTGGCTTTTTATACCAAATAATTTCTCCAAATTTATAACTATTTGTAATTTTTAAAATAATTTTTCAATTTAAAAAATATTACAAACTAAAAATGTCATTTGTTTCTTATAAATTCCCTGCAATCTGTTGAAATCCCCATGTCTCTTCAACGTTCAAAATGATCCTTGCGAGATGATCAACATCATCGAACAAAAACCTGAGATTGCAACAAGTTTAGAAGTGGCTCTATTAAAATATAGATTAACTATGGTACCACCGAGCAACGAAAAACTAGATCCGCGGGCGAATCCAATATACTGGAACAATACTTGGAGTTGCTGGTGTGATTCATTACTTTTGAATTAAACTAACAGTACCGTGACCATCACATATTTGAATGTGTTCATCATGATCGTTTTTATCGCTTGCATGATCTTGATTACTGCAGGTATTTCTTTCGGATGTAAATTATACCGTTCTAAAAGATAATGTATTACCATACAGTACAGAAAGCTATTAGAAATTTTTCAAAATCATCTCAACCTTTCACATTTTATGTAAAACAATTCTGAAAAAATTCTACAATATAAAATATTACAACAGAAATATTTTTTAAACCTTTAACATAAAGATTATTTTTCGTGAATGTCGCGAAAAGAGCGAAATGATTTTGGAAAATGTTAATAATTTTTTTAATACAATAATTATATGTATTAGTGTATGTGTATATATGTGAATATGTTTGCATATTTTTTCAAGGAACACTGCAATATGACAAAGATAAGTAAGTTCATAAATTTACATTTAAATTAAAGCGTTATTGAGTTGTACATATTTATATTATACATGTATGTATTTAGGGAACGATTGCAACAAAAGCTACAAATGACATCGACAGAATCATTTTTAATACTCCGGTTTTGCCTTTTTAAATTGAAAGTTTTTTGTATTTTTGACTTATCTTCATTGAGTTCATGATATAAAAAATTAAAATAATAGACTTCAAATTTTACAATATCAATCTATGTATATTGTAAAATGAATACTTTGCAAATGAAAATTATATTAATATAATGTATTGGTTATTAGTTATTTTTTTTATATCTCCTACGATGGGCAGCTGATAAGCAATGTGCCAAAAGTGACGCCGCGTTTCATTAATTTAATAAATATACAAATATTTATTGAAATTAATCCGTAATTTTATCACAAACTATTTTATGTAATTGTAATTTAAGGAATATTATATAAAACACAGCATTATACATTTGCTTTATATTACAATTCATAATACAGTTAAGCATTCTTCTATCCATTTTATTAATTACTGAATCTTTTCTCTTCCTCCTTTGTACAAAATTTATGGAAATAGAACGATTAAACGATTCACAATTATCACGAATTACTTCTGCATTATCTGTGATTTGTCTTCTACGGCTTTTCTTCGATGTATAATAAACAATAATATGATATTACAATTAACAATATGATATTAAATTATATCAAGCCGGAAGACAATCGTGGATACTTTACGAAATATATGATTATTAAATTAATAAACTAACAAAATAAGACTTTAATAAACATGTTTATATTCAATAACACAATGATGAAACTCCAACATCCTGTAACATATATCTCATTGCAAATGCTTTATTATACATAATTTAGTCACCGAATAAAAAAAGCAAAATATTATTATATATTATCTAATATCTTAGATTTTATCTTATATTCCATGCTTATTTGCTGTACAACGTTATAATACATGTAAAGTCTGCTTCTCGTATTCTCCTCTTTTTCCGAGGAGAGGAGAGGAGAGAGCAACTTTTTCAGAGAAAATACACTATTATAGTTATATTCTGTACATGTATATATGTAATTTCAAAAATATTTCTTTTGACGTTCTTCCATCACTCAGAATACTCTCACAAAACTATTCTTTATAACCGTGCCAGCATGTGATTTACGTCTGAAAAATACGACAGGCTGTTTCAATATTAGTTAACTGCAGGAATAAGTCTTGGCAGTTGGCACTTGGCAGGAATGTCTCCAGAAGGCAAAAGCGATGGCCATTTTATTCCCGCTATTCGTTCATCACATGTGTACTACCTTTGGTGTGCTAAATAATACAAAACTATTTTTAGCATTTTCATTATTTTATGAGATTTAAGAATCTAGAAAACAAAGATTTACAAAACGATGAATATCAGTAATCAATTAAATTAAAAACAGTAGACCAATAATTTGGAAAAATAAAAATCTAGTCGATTAATGATTTGCAATTCTAGAAATCATAAAATTATCAACAACATAAAGTTAAACTTCTGTAAGTAAGCAAATATATATAACAAATCTATAAAATTAAAGAAAAATCACACTTAAGATTCTATAAAATAAATGAGCCTCGGAAAAAGAAATATTAAATTGTAGAATAGAAAACTTTTTTTACTTACCTCTTGCCCCACAACCAATTCAAAAGAACACTCGACTGGCTCTGAACGTCTCGAGCTGTGAACATCAATTTATATCGTCAGTACGCAATTTTAAATGTTTAAAATTATATGTTTTACTGATTATTCTACTACTAATCAAATAATACCTACAGAGTGTATAATTAGCGTTGACGAGTCTTGCAGCTGCTTCGGGTGGCAATGTGTTTAAAACATCTCTATGGGCTAATAAAGACATTTGTTGATTATGTCTTAACTCTCGTTCGTCCTTCAATCGTACATCCTTTGCATGGCTGACTGAATGTAACTGCGACAATCTAAAGGGAGAACAACTAGCTTATATCAAGCTGCAAGCAATACGCAAAAGGCGAGGTATTTAGGACATTGTTTTCAAACAAGCAAGTATTTTTCGTTCTTCAACATGTGAACTTTACAGGATATTTAAATAGACAACCTACGAAGCACTTCAAGTTTTGGCTGATAAAATAATGAAACTTCTGACTAGATTACGAGATCTTAAATTAAAGCTCCATTTACACCAACGGATGAGTAATATCATACATCAGCAACTAGGACGAAGAAAAGGCAAGTTGATTAGTTTGAGGAAAAGCTTTGACTTTGTTTTGATCAAGAAAAAGAAGACTCCGCAAATTCGTTAAATTTTTTCTTCAAATATACTACATACTAAAAATACTTATATCGCACATTTAACATTTATAAGTGTTGAATTCTCAATCTACGATAGCATTAAATATTATTTTATATTGGAATTCAGGGATTATGTTTAGCGCTAAGTATAAAATATAAACAGCCAACTTTTTCTGTAGTTTAACTATACTATAAGACTACGTCTAGAAAGTAGTAAATCTGTAGTTTCTAGATTATAAAAACAAGTTTTCCTTACTTCAGAGCAAGAGCTTCCTTGTCCTCAATCGGAGTATCGATAGCTTCCTTTGCGATCTCGACTGGTCCCTCGGACTTTGAAGGCGAAGGTTGTTCCACGACAGGTTCTATTATCGCATGAGAAGCCGATGACGAGTCTTTCATTGGGCTTGCTTCGGCGCTGCCCACTCTTCTGAGTTCTTCATTCACCCGGATCGCATTAGATAATCGCAATTGCAATGTATCGCGCTCCTCGAGCAGCTGCATCAATTCGTGAGTCAGCTCCTCGCATCGGACATCTCTTTGATGAAGCATATATAGTGCGAGATCCAACTCACTGGAAACGGTCTCCCTATTGTCGACCTTTTCAACAGTTTCCAAGCTTTTCGACGACGCAGCTTCGACGGGTACTTCTTTCTTCAAAGCGTGTTGTATCAAAGCGTGCTCCGAAACCTTTTGCGCCAGCAATTCCTTCAGCCTGTTCACTTCTGTATCACTAGCTGCCAATGTTTGTCTCAACTCATCCAATTGTTTCTCCTCTTCCGCAGACAATGCCAAGAGCTCGTCTATTCGCGCTTCTTTTTCACGGATCTGCACCTTCAAGTTGTGAAGTTCGGTGTCTTTGGTGATGCTCAGCTCAGCCAGTCTTCTTTCCTTCTCCGCCAGATCGTCGATCGTATGCATCAACTCGTTCTCCTTTTGTTGCAACTTACTGCCCCGATCATTCGCAGTCGTACGTAATTGTTCAAATTGTGCTTTCAGATTCTCCATATCACTGTCCTTCAATCGAAGTTCCTCCAGTAACTTATGATTCTCCTCCGATAATTGTTGCTTTATCTCACCGATGTCCGATTCTTTCTTTTGCAATTCCCTATTCAGGAATTCTTCAGCGTTGATACGGATTTGCTCTTTCTCCGAAGTTAACTTCTCAATCGCGTTTCTGCTCTCTTCGGAGAGCCTCTCGTAATCTTTAAGAAGCAGAGTCTGCTCTTGTAACTCCGCGATAGTCGACTTTAACGTTTGTACTTCTTGCTCCTTGCCATACAATTCTCCCATCAATCTCTGTACGGTCTCGCGTAGCTCGAAGTCATCCGATTGCGGCTCCATACTGGCCTGAAGACACAATTGCGAGTCTTTCTCGGCTATGATGTATTTCAATTCGTTAATCTCTTGTTGCTTCGCGTGCAATTCATTCTGCAACCGAACAATTTCCTCCTGTTCGTGCGCAGATCTTCGGTCTCTGGAGACTAAACTAGCTTCCTCCTTAGAAATGTGCTCCTGAGTTTGCTCGTTGATGCGTTGCGTCAGAAGGTTTACTTGCTGCTGCTTCTCCGTCAAGCTCTCTGTAGTTGCTCGCAGGGAAGCCTCCAGAGTAGCCTTCTCATTATACAGACAATTAATTCTGTCTTGCATTTGCTGGATGATTGTGGGATACGTGTTCTCGCTCAAAACGTATTTCAAATGCTCCAATTCCTGCTGCTTAGCTTCCATCTGCGCCTTCAGTTCATTTATTGTACTTTGCAGCTCTAAGTCGTCGTCGCGGCCCATTCTAGCATTCGAAAGATCATCGATCACCTGAGAATTCTGCTCGTTGCGCAATCTCTCCAGTTCAGCTCGTTTGTCGTTCAGCTCCTGATTCGTCATCTCCAATAAAGAATCCTTGTCACTCATCTTGGTCTTGATTCCTTCCAAATCGTTCTCCTTAGCACATAATTGCGTGCTCACGTAATGCAACTGCTCGGTTTTCTCTCGTAGATCATGTTTCAAAGCATCAATTTGATCTTTGTTACTTTCTAATTGAGCTTGATACATTTCCGTCTCCTTGTCGTATTGCGATAAAATCGATTCGTTCTCCGATTTTAGAACTTGAACTTCTTGTTCCAAGTCGTGAATACGTGAGCTGCACTCTTGCAGATCAACAGAAGCTGCCTCCATTGCAGTCAGTCGATTCTGCAGGCGTTGAATATCCGCTAAGCATCTCTCTACTTCTGCCGCGAGTTTCGTTTTCTCTTCCTCGTATTGTATCAGTTCCTGTTGCTTTTCTCGCAATTTTTCATTCATTAAATTCATATCAGTTTGAGTAGTTCCTATTATTGAATTTCGCTCTGTTAAATCCTCCTTCAAATATGCAATTTGTTGCTGTTGCGTCTCCAATTTAGTCGCGCAATCTTGCAGCTTCAAGGTGTATTCATCGACTATCGATTGCAATACATTCAGCTTCTCCGTTAAATCGCGCAATGCCTTATCCTTTCCTTCGATCTCAATCGCGTGCTTCTGGACTAATTCTTGGGTAGCCTCGCTAACAATAGTATTTACTGTCTCCACACTTCTTTGCTGTATCAGCTCGTGCTCCTTATCGCTAAACGCTTGCTTCAAAGCTCCTAGATCTTGTTTCCTCTCGTCTAGCTCTTTAGTCAAGTTTTGTATTTCCAATTGTAGCGTCGCTTCGGCTTGCTGTCTTTCCACGTATTGAACTTGAAGCTCTTGCTTCAATTCAGCAACTTCTTGGACTCTGGCGTTAAGCAATTCCGTGACTTCCATCAGAGACGCATTGACGGCCGAAAGTTTTTCTTCCGAGCTTATCAAAGTATTGTCTTCCAAAACATTTTTCTCTTCCAAAGCTCTCTGCAGATGAACTATCTCCATTTCTAATCTTTCTACCTTCTCCGCAAATTCAATCTTGAGGAAATCGCTATTCTGCCGCATTGCTGTCACTTGATCATTCGCGTCTATTAGACTTTGCTCATACTGTCTCCTGAGAATGTCATATTCTTCCTTGCTTTTATTTAAACTGCTTTGAAGCTGCGCATTTTGGTTACTCAAAGTGTCTAATTTTTCTACAAGCTCATCAGAGTTATTGTTACCTTTCGGCTCCAAATTCGCCATCGCCGTTTTTTGTTCTTCCAAAAAGTGCTGTAGTTGTTCGTTTTCAGCTGCAAGCGCTTCTAACTCGTCCTTCAAATCATCTATCTCCTCCTTGTATTTCTTTGATATTACTTCCAAGTCATCGTTAGGTTCCACTGATCTTTTCTGGGGCTGACCATGTGCGACAGATTTATCGATCTCAGAAGATGTCGGATCACTTTGACCTTTGTGTTGCGAAGAAGCAGTATCTTCTATACCAGTCGCATTTTCCTCTAATCGCCATTCTAAAGATTGTATCTTATTACCTAGTTCCTTATTCTGAATGCGCAATACTTCAACTTCCATGTCTTGTCTCTCTTTCATTTCCATATATCTGTCATTAGCCGATACTAATACATCAAGTCGTTTCAGTAAAGCCTCCTTCTCAGCAACGACATTTTTCTTTTCCTCCTTAATTTCATTAAGAGCTTTTTCCAAATTGGCTATTTGCGCCTTCAGCTCCTCCTCGATTGCCGTATCTAAGTTAAAGAAGCTGTCAGTCTGCTTTTGCGTTTTTAATTGTTGCTGTAAGCCCTCTATCTGCACTTTATATTCTTTCAATTTCTTTACCAATTTACCGCTCTTCACTTGCGCCGCTTTGTTTTCTTCAGCGATCCCAGCGTTCTGCGATTCTAAATCTTTGATTCTACTTTGCAACTCTTCTACTTTCGCACGTAATTGCATTTCAGCGCTCAATGTCATTGTGCTGAGATGTTGACTACTGACAGCCGATTGGACATTCTCCGCATTCCAGCCCCAGGGTTCTTCGTCGATATTAAGGTTTTCAGAAGCGCTATCCCAACCCGAACCGATGTCCAACTGAATCTCCTGCGGTATTTCTTGTTCGATAGGCGCATGTGCCGATTGTACAGATTCATGTTGGCTAATTGATTCTTCGACAACCACAGGAACTTGTTCTAATTCTTGTTCAACGATCGATTTTTCCATAAAAGAACGTTCCTTCAAATTGTCCCCATGTATCTTCGATTCCTGGATATTCTGTTTCGAATCCTCCAAAGCTTGCGTAAGATTTGCAATAAGTATTTGGGCCTGATCTCTCTCTCGCGAAACATTCTCTAACTCAATCTGCAGATTACGCTGACTCCCAAGCGATTCCTTCAATTCATCCAAGGATCGTGTCAGATCATTCACTTGCAGTTGCAGCAAGTCTCTTTCTGCAATGGTTGCAAAGATACGTTGTTCCCACTCTTGTATCAAATCATTATTACTAGCGTTTCTCACTTCTGTTTCCAGATTATTAATCTGAAGTTTGTACGATTCGATTTGCTGATCTCGTTCCGTTGTTAATGCTTCTACAATATCTTTCATAGAAGTCATCTCTGTTCTCATCGCAGTGATTTCTGTGTCCTTGTGTGAGATTTCTGTTCGCAGACCGGCTTCTGCATCCGTATGTTGTTGCGAACTCATTTGTTGATTTATAATATTTATGTCGGCAGTCAACAAATCTATCTGTGCATTTTTGTCAGTTACTAATTGCTGTAATCTCTGTGACTCGGCTTCAACAGTATAATATTGTTCCTGTAACGTTTTCAAATCATTCATCTGACGAATTACATTATCCAATTCCGCATTCAATGAATCCACCTGCGCGTTCTTCTCAGAAAGAAGACTCTCTGTCTTCTTCAATTTGCTTTGCGAATCTTCAAATTGATCCCGTAACTCTTGGACACGCAATTTCTCATCTTCGATATTATTGAGTAAAAGATCCATTTTTCTCATATGTTCAGAACACTGACTCTGTTGCTCGCTTAATAAACTCTGCAATTGTTCTATTTCCTTTTTAGTGTCCGAAGCGACAGCTGAGTCGAAAATCTTCGCCGAGTCGAGCGATTGTGAAACATCTTGCGTCTGCTGTTGCTGATTTTCGGCAATAGAAGTTTCAACTTCTTCGGGAATTTCCACTTTGCACTCGGCGTTCTTGTGATTGTACTTTTCCAACTCAGCCTCTAATTCCGACACTTTCCGATCGCTCGCAGCTATTTCCGTTTTCAAAGAATCGATCTCCTGTTGTAGCGTATTCGTTTGGTCCATCAGTGATTGATTAAAGCGCGCCTGAGCAGTTTGCATCATCATATCGTTGTGCCTCTGAGACTCATCGTGAAGTAACACGATATTGCCGTACGAATTGGCCCATTCATTATTCAGATTTTCAATTTCCGCTTGGCGCTCTTGTAGACGCGCCTCTAACGCTTGCACCAAATTCTGACATTGCTCTGAATGATCGCAATGCTGCGTAATCCGTGTGTCGTCCTCTCTCAATTCACTCTGTTCCGGCACCTGTGCAGTTACCGCCACAGACGCCATAGTTGCAATCTCTTTTTGTAACTGTTCAATTAGCACACGTCGCTCTTCCGATTTCTTCTCGGCGTTTTCCAGTTTCTCATCGATCTGCGTTTGTTTGGACATCAAGAGGCCATTCTCTGCCTTCAGATTCTTTATTGTAGCAAGCTGTTCAACATACTCAGTCTCCATTACTTGCATGCGCACGCTCAATTCTCGCGCCTGTTCCTTCACCTCGTCCAGAATTGCCTGTTTTTGTTCGTCCTCCTTGCTCACAGTTTGCTTGTAAAACTCGTATTCTTCAGCAACGTTCTCTTTCGCTGTTTTCTCCGTCGTCACGTCGAGAGAGAGACGTTCCATCTCTGCGCGCTGCTTCTCGATTTCCTCGTCCATCTCCGCAACGTGTTCCATTAACATCGCAATTTTTTCTTTCAAACTAATCGACTCCTTCTCAAATTTCTCTGAATTTGCAAGAATCTCGACAGTATTATTTTTCGCCTGCAACAACTTCTCCTCCAAATCATGGATCTTGTTGTCCTTCTCCCGCATAGAACTCTCCACTTCTTGTATCCGCTTGTTTTTAACTCCCTTCTCATCTTTCTCCGTCGTCCACTTCTCCTCCAATTCAGCGACACGCGCTTCAAGCTCCTGGCATGCTATCTTCTTTTTGTTAAACGTTGCCACAATCTTTTTCATCTTTTCAGACTGCGTCTGTAGCTTAGACTCTGATTCTGAAAGTTTTTGTTCCAAGTCAGCAACTTTGCCCTCCAAGATGGTTGTCTCTTCCGTGACGTTTTTACCGAGCAACTCGTTCTGTTCCAACTCAGCCTTCATAGCTTCGTTTTCCAGTGTTTTTTCGATTAATTCCTTCATAATATCTTCTAATCTTTGAGCCGACATCGTCATATCCTCCTGATGCTTAGTTTTAAGCCGTTCCATTTGCTTGTATTCGTTTGTCAACTCCAATTGCACTTTTTCGGCATATGTAGTTTGATTGTCCAAAATCGCTTGCAGTTCCCAAGTTCGCTTTTCAGCTTCAGTCTTGTCGTTCTTGACTTCTTCAATTTGTGTGTCCAATTCTCCCTTAACTGAAAGCAAACTCTGGATTTCCTCTTCTTTCTTAATCAATTCATTTTTAATGCTCTCGTCACGCATTAACATATCCCCAATTTTTTGTGCCAACTCATTATTTTCTCTCAAGGCTTCTTCATATTTATTCTCTAATTCAATGTAATTTGTTTCTTTATTTTGCAAATTCTCCAAAATTTCCTTAAATTCTGCCGCAGGCTTAGATTGCTCTAATGCTTCAGTAATTTTGCTAATATTATCTTTCAGAGTATGAACTTCTTCTTCCTTCTCCTTTATTGTATCATTAAGTCTCGCAATCTCTCCTAATGATGACGATAAAGCAGTCTCGTTTTCTTTAAGCTTGATCAAATAGTTATTCAACTCATCCTGTAAATTGTCTATAGTAATCATTCCATTTTGCAACTGCGCATATTTGTTATGCAATTCTTGATCTCTCTTTTCAATCTCAGCTTTCAAATCCGTAATTTCATGTTCTTTTGCAGTTACACTCGCCATTTCATCTTGTAATCTTGTTTCAAGAGAGCCTATAGTACCTTGAAGACGCTCTTGTAAAGTACCAGTTGCCACGTCCTTCTCTTTTATCACTTCTAACAGTTCCTTGTTATCATTCTCTAATATCTTCAAAGTTTCTTCTATTGATTCTTTCGCTTGCTCCAATGCTTGCATCTTCTCTTGCATGTCATCATATTTGAATTTCCATTCTTCTGCGGTAACGAACATGTCTTTCAATTCACGTTCTACGCTCTCCAGTTTTACGCCTGATGCTTCGTACTCCAGCAACTGATTGGCTTTTTTCTGCAATTCTGTTTCCATGCTCTCCAATTTCATGTTCATCTCCTCTATTTGATTCTTGTACTCCACAATTAATACCTTACTATTCTCTAATTCCTTCTCTAAGGATGCTACAATTACAGTTTGTGACTCCTGACAAACAACCTCCTCCGCCTTTCGCATCTCTGAAATTTCGTCGGACGATTTCTGTAAGAAAATGCTAAGTTGCTCATGCAACTGCTTCTCGCGAGCGACGTTCTCCTTCTCCTGATTCAATTTCTCCAATTTATCAATTAGTTCCAATCTTTCTTTGGAGAAATCATCGCTGGTCATGTGTTCCACTTTTCGATTCAATTCTTCTTTTTCTTGAGTAATTTTAATTAAATCTTCTGTTTGGTTATTGATACGCTCTTCGAGCTGTACGATTGTCATTGTCATCTGCGCATTTTCTTTCTCCAATGTCGCGAGTTTAGATTTTGCATCATCAGTTTCGCACGATGTTACGTTAACCGAGTGTTCCATCGATTTTTTCCGCAATTGCACCAGTTCCTTTTCAAGAACCTGTTGCCTCTCTACTAAGGCGTTAATTTGATCAGCAGATTCTATCACTTGGATTGACATTTGAGAAGTATGAGACAATTCCATTTGAAGACGTTCTTCCAATTTCGTACGATTGATAACTAACTCAGTATTTTCCGCAGTCAACATTGCTATACGATCTTGTAACCTGTTGTTTTCCTCCGTGAGATCCTCTATCTGCGGTTTGAGCTGAGAAATCTCTCCCATCAAATTATCATTTCCTTCGGTGAGCGTCTCAATCTGTAATCGCAAACTACTGTCATCTTTAAGTGTCTCTAAACTATGATCAATCTTAGAGTCCAGTTGAGCGCTGCTTTCTATTTGACTCAATCGCTCTTCCAGTTTTGTTAGCTTGATAACAAGTTCGTTATTCTCTTGAGTAAGTAGTTCAATCTTCGTTGGGCTATCATTATGTTCCGGGATACGCTCAAAAGATTCCGTAGAACCCGTGTCGGACGATCCCTTCTCTTCGATTCTACTCAATTTCACAGTTAGGTCGCTGTTCTCCTGCGTCAGTTGCTCGATTTTCTTTATCAATTCGCTGCGATCCGTGTCGTTTATAGTCTCAAAAGATTCTGTGGAACCAGCATGCGAGCCATCCTTCTCCTCCAACTTCGATAACTTGAGCGTTAATTCATTATTCTTCTGCTCCAAATCCTCAATCTTCTTCAACAAATCGTTTCTATCGTTCATCTGAATGGCTTCGAAAGATTCCGTCGAACCAGTATCCGAAGCACCTTTCTCTTCTATTTTGTTTAACTTGCTGTATAATTCTGAATTTTCCTGCGTTAGAGCATCCAGCTTTTTCAAGAGCTCATGATGTTCAATCTCGAGTTTACTCTCGCTCTGTTCTTTGTGTGCCGTTTCCAGTTGCTCCTCCAGTTCAACAACCTTCATCTCTGCGGCCACTCTGAGATTCTCCGACTCCGCGTTCTCAGCTTCAAAAGCCAAGATCTCCTGCCTCACCGTGTAAAGTTCTGAAAGAGGGTAAGCAAGCTGTACAGATTTATTTCATTAAATTAAAAACGTGTTGATTCTTAATATTCAATAACATATAGAATTAGAAGTGCAATTATTAACACTGTTACACACAGTAATTAATAATCTATCAAGAGAAGCACAAAATAACTCGTAATTTATAGCTCATTAAAATGAATGACACAATTATATGTTTAAACGATTACTTGAAGCATCAACACACAAAAACACATCTTATTCAATGTGATAAATTACCTTGTGTTAAATCTAACTTTTGGTTCTCTAAGATGGCTATTGCATCAATATGCATCTGTATCTCTTTTGTCTGAGATGAAACCTTACTTTCCAGGTCAGCAACACGTTCCTGCCAATCTCCTGCTGAGGCTGTGCAGATCGTACAATTTGCCGATAATGTACATGCAATTTCATTTTCGTTCATAATAAGCTTAGAACAAGCAAGTTATTAGTTGTAGCAAAATTTTCTGACGAAATCCATTTTTATACAATTATTTAATATCTGTTTCAAAAGGTGACAAACCATCAGTAGATTCTTATTCTTAAAACAATATATTGTGCAATTTATTCTTCAATATTAGCATTATTTCAAAAAATCTCAAATATTGAACAAAATTGAATAGATTAAAAAATATTTTTTACACACATGTATACGACAATATTAAACAGTCGTATATATCATCTTTATGTATATATATTTCCATATCTTTATTTAAATTTTCAGTCAAAACCACAAATCTACTGATAGTAGGCATTATTTGAAACATTTTTTATATTTAGAATAAGATAATTTTTCTCTATATTTTTTTATTTAAAGCGTCAGAAAAGCGAGGAATTACACATTTCATTCAATTTGTTATATATTAACTGTTAGCATCATCAGCATACGCCAATCAAATCAATTGTATACCAATCAAAAATTACGTACAAAATATTTTCAATCATCGTCCACTTTAATATGAAAGCGTCCAATAGCAATAGCAAAATAAGTATCGCAAAAAATTCAAAATATTGTTATTACAATTCATGCAATTAATCATTTATCTCGTGTAACATAAGAAAACATATACGGGATAAGTATTAAGAATAAATCTATTTCTATGAATAAGTGCGTAGCAAACTTTGACAAGTAAAGTAGGTACCATGTTACGCTTGATTATCAAGAGATACTTCAGATATCATTGATTAGTATTCTTCGTAAATGTTTCGATAATTGAGGCGTATAAAACAAGTGAAGAGATTCCATCACCAGAAAACATTGAAAAATATTATTTTCCACTCTAAGTGCTCGTAAACAAAAATCGCGCAATTAATATTTCACTAACTGTATTTTACATTTGTAAAATTAATATCAATTATTACTACAGTTTATTCATATACTGCAGTATTTAGAGCTTCGTTTAAAAATATATACATAAAATTATAACGATTAGGACGAATACTTCTCATTCATGGGGGAAACAGGGCTGAAAAACAGGCTGTCTCGATAAAAAATATTAACACAGATTGCATTAAAAATCCGATAATATAACTAGGACAATGGAAACGTCGGCGATAAAACGATTGTCCTGGTTCCTACCTTTAAGCTCGTCAAAGTCTACCAGACTCAGCTGAAGGTTACCTTTCTCCTCCTCCAATAATGCCACTTGATTGCCCAATCTAACGAGTTCTGCATTCGTATCGGATACCTAATAGAAAATACATATTTTCATAGACACAGAAAAGATATCCTGATTGATTTGATGCCCATAATGCAATATTCAATTACATTTCTAATTAAATATTCAGCAAAGTTAGTCTACACAAAATAAAGTAGAATATAAAAATTTATATATACATTCTAATCATCAAATAAAAGAAACGAGAACGCCATTTTTTATTCTAATTATAATATAAAATTGTAAATATTAAATTTTAAAAATAATATCTCAAAGTTCTTACCATTTTGAAGTTTTCCAGTTGCTTCTGTAAATTTCTTACTTTGCTTCTGTGTTGAGCTTTTAATTTGATCATACTTTTATTTAAATCTTCCAATTCCTTTGTCAATTTTATTAACATATCTTCTTTAGGTACCACTTGCTCAGCTGACAATCTCGCTGCGATATCGTTTTTCTCCATTTCGAGTTCGTGCACTTGCTTTTCGAGATCGATAATCTTGTTGAAATGCTCTTCGTTCTTGGATGACAATTCAGCTACTTGCTTCTGCAGCTCAGTCTTCGATTCTTCTTCCAGCAATTTATTTGATTGTTTAAGTTCCTCTATCAAATTTTCGAGTTCTGCTATTCTGTTGTCTTTTTCGACAATTGCATCATTACCGTGAACCAATTTACTGGCAATAATCTTATCCTGCAATTCGGCATTATTTTTCTGCAATTCATATTTCTCATCTAGAAGCTGTCGATTGTTCTGTTCCAATTTCTCTATTCTAAATTGTAAATCCTCGACTGCCGGAGTTGTTACTATACCGGCGCCAGATTCTAGTTGAAATATTCTCTCTTTGGCTTCCGCCAATTTTATTTCATACTGTTTCAACTGTTGAAGAAGATGATCGCTCTTCAATTTTAATGACGATTCGACGAGAACAAAATTTTCCTGCATTGATTTCATCGCGTCTTTAGTCTCCGCTAAAGTGTCCATAGTGGAACGCGAGAAGTCCGCACTTGCTGATTCAGCTATTTTCTGTTCTTTAAGTTGTTCTTCAAATCTACAAAGAATAAATAATTAGAAAAACATGGAATCTTATTAAAATGTTGTTTCACATAAGAAACAAGAATTACATGCAATATTAACATTCAAAATACTTCATTATCTTTACATTTAAAATACTTTACTAATCAAATCATGTTAACTAATAAAACCTAAATATAATATTAACTAATAATAACCAAATAATATTCTCTTTGCAATTATGAGTATGGAAATATTATTATTCTTATTCAAATATCAAAGTCTATTTTCAAATTAGTTTGAAATAAATGTTATAACATGATAAATATAAATAATACATTACCAAAAAATGTATTACCTATTGACTGTATGCTCCAATTCTGATATCCTGTTATCTCGTTCTTGTAGCTGTTGCAGTAAACTGGTATTTTTATTTTTCAGAGACGTTTCAATCAAGATAAAATTTTCTTGCATCGTTCGCATTTCATCTTTCGTATCTTCGAGAGTGTCCAACGTCGTTTTACCCTTCTTGGAAAGATCCGCGGACATAAGAGTAACCGCTTTCGTTTTAGAATCAATAACAGAATCCTTCTCTTTTAAATTTTCTCGAAGATCCAGGATAGTAGCCTCCAGCTCGACGATTTTGCTATTTAACTCCGTGATCTTCTGTTCTTTTTCTTGAATGTTTTGAAGTTGAATTGGCGTCATCACCTTAAATTAGAAAATTATAACATAAATTTTATCGCAATTGCAAAGTTTTCAAGATAAATTGCCTATCGATTATTCTTTGCGGTACATTCATTAAAATTATTAAAGAAAATTATTTAGAAAAAAAATGATATGTTAATAGAACTGATACAGAACTCACATCCGAAGTGATAACAAGAGGCCTAATTGGTGTGTTAGCTAGTTGATCCTTGTGTTCTGCCGCTGTTTCATCCAATTGTTGTCTGATGGCTTCCACTTTCTCTTCTACCGCTCGTTTTGTTTCTGTCAATTCTTTGCTACGTTGCTCGAACACTTTCCTGTTTTCCGCCAATTTTCGTTGAAGTAAAGAAGACTTTGCTTTTGGGGTTTTTGCTTGACTAATGTCATCAATTGTATCATCTGTTACATCCTGTGCTGCAGATTCAGTCTTATGTGAATGCATTGTGTCTTTAGATGATGAAGCTCCTTCTTTACTACGACGTGATAACTTGGCCCTGGATTTGATCTTTGACAATCTTCGCGCATATTCCTAGATAAACAATCATCGATATATAACACATTTTTCTTTCCTAATAACTATTAAACAAGATGCTACTGTTTGATATTATTTAACTAATTATTGAACAGAAATTTAATCTTCCAATCAAATTTCTGTTAAATTTCCTTAATTTTAAGCAATTTTTATTCGCCAATAACTCTAAGATAATGTATAAAAATTAAATAAAAAACAGTAAAATTTCTATTTCAGAAGGCGAGACCTCTGAAAGATCTTAATTGCTTTAACAATTGACATTACCTGGACCTCCTCCTCTTTTCTCTTTAAACTCTGCTGATTCCTCATCATGATTTCCTTGAGGGATTCCAATTGATTTTTATTCTGCTCGCATGTCTCCTTCGTGTGTACCACAGCCTCAGGAGGACCGCCTTCCATCGCGCCTGGCGATTCCTCAGACGCGCTCCACATTATGCACTGCACACATAGAAGCAACACAAACCACTGCATTATTTGTCTTCGAACAAAACTATGAATACATTCCGGCGAAGAACGGCTGGTAAAGTCAATGGCAGTGAAAGTTTGTCTAATGTGACAAAATAGAGCATCACCCACTGCTCCCATTTTCCAATCTAATTGGATAGGATCTAGACTGAGGTAAACTAATTGCATTAAGTCTCGACGCAGATCAGACTTTTCACATTCCTCCTTATTTCTACCCGATATTCAGTCCGGGCAACATCATGTACCTTTTCTCCATATCTTTCCCTTTATTTTAAGAGTGTCAACATATAATAGTATTATAGAAGAACTGTAAGTATTTTCTATTTATATATTAATAACATTTGTTAACTATGTGATTAAATCTCATATAATTCTGCTGATGGATTAATTATATGTATACATATAACGTTTTCAAAATTGTCCCTTCTTATTTCTCTTATTGTCTATTGTATTAATGTTAATTTCATTCACAAATTGAAATTCACAATTTCATTACTTTAAAAATACTAAACTTTTGTTAAAGTTTTAAAGATTATTAGTTTTCTACAGTTTCTTATCTTTATTGACCGCTCAATGTCGACCGCGGGAAAATAAGCAGAAAATATTTATGCTGATCATGCCAACTGCATAAAAAAGATAAAAACTCAAAACCAAACAGATAAAGCTCAAATAAATGATGCCAAATCAAATCTTTTTTCTTCAAGAACTAGAATATTTATTGCAACACAAATGCATTTTCTTCATTTTGAAGTAATGAAGTAAACATCACTCATCTATTCTTGGATAATACGAGAGCTCGGAATTAAAATTTGTTTTATCGTCTAAAGTTCATTCTTCTTCATGTGGAAAATAAAATCGCATAGAATACCATTACTGTTAAATCCACGATGCTGGAACTTGGCTCAAGTTCTTATCCTTCAGCTTTTAGGGAATAGCCGCAAGTTGATTGACTACACATTTCTCGAAACTAGAACTTGGATCAAGTTCTAGCATTGTGGACACAGGCCTTAATATATTACTTTTCATAATATGTATACTGTTTCTTTATAGAGACGGAAGAAAGGCTGATACAAGCACAGGAAGGAGTTAAGTGACCAAGGTGTTTTGATATATACAATACAATGTCAAATCTCCTAAAGTAAGTAAAGCCTTGTGTCCACGACACAAGAAATGTATCCAAGTTCTAGTTCCGAGAAATGTGCAGCCAATCAACTAGCATCTTTTACTGAATAGCTGCAAGTTGACCAGCTACACATTCCTCGGTACCAGAACTTGGAGCGACTTGGACACAGTTCTTCAATCGTGGACATTAGGTGTAAGACCAACATCAATCTCGTGTATCGAGGAACAGCGAAGAAGAGAAGGTACCACGAAACAGCAGTTTGACGCAGGCAAGTCTGCAAAGCGTGCATATCAGTTTCGTCAATTCCACTGGCACAATCTTCTAGCGAAGCTTGCAGTAACGCGCACCAAATGCACGCCGAGGCTTGTACAGAGTCTACTCTTACATCTATGGTCATCTCAGGTACATGTCCAAAAACTATTTAGCCAAAAACAAGGATCCGTACGAACGCTATACAGCGGGTCAATTCTGTATCTTATGCCCGGTCTACAATGAGTCGTTAGTCGTTGGTCAGAAGTCGCAACTACACGTTGATCCTTTTTCCCTTTCAGAGTGGAAGAAAAAGGACTGACGTACAGTTTCTGGCTTCTGACTGACGACTCGTTGTAGACCGAGCCTCACACTACAGCGACAATGCTAAAAGCGAGTAGCTTTAGCTCTTTCTGACCATCCTCTTGGAGACGAAGCTTTTGACAAAAGCTCACTTTTAACATTGTTATTTCTCGCTACATTGCAAGACACAGAATTGGCCTCGGGGTCGCGGGGCGCGTACGCGCGCACAGCCGCGGTTCCCGCGCGGATCGGAAATACGTGTAACGTAGAACTGCGCCCGGTTGTCCGGAACGGACGTGTCGGCTTCGGCGACACGTAGCAAAGTGACGTAATCCACGTGCGGGAGGCGCACGTGAGGGAGACGCGCGCGCGACCGCGTCGTGCCTCGAGAGCCGGGGAACCGCGGGAACCCGGCTGGGCGGGCGCGTCCGCGACGAGAGGCCGGGGAACGAGTAGCTTCCGCGCGCGCCTCTTACGTACCTTCTGTTTGGCGTCGCGCGAGCTGTCAGGAGGGCAACACGTCGCCGCTCATAATTAGGTCGCTCCGTCGCCGAACGCGCGGTGGTCCCTCGGCGCAGCGAGTGGCGGCGGCGCGTCAGAGGCGCATAACACACGGCGAGAGGGTCCGCGACCGGGGATACCCGTTAAGTCGAGCGCCCACGGGGGAAACTCTACGTGAACCCGCGACGAGGCCGATCCGACATCATCGTCGTCGTGCCATATCCTCACGGCCGGAAGTAGCCGGCAGCGCCGCGAGAAGCGGCAGGCTCGACGGCGGGCAAGGGAGATCTCTTCTTTACCATCCGCCGGCTGTTGGGCTCGACGGTCGGTAAAGAAGATATCTCTTCTCCGCTTCTTCGCCGGTGAGGGCGCCGGATTCGCTAGAAAATCGGATTCTCCCGGTGGACTCGCGCGCGTGCCAACAACTTCCGCTTCAACCCCCGGAACTGCTCGTCCCGATTTTCGCGCTCTTCTCGAGAACATCGTGTCGTTCGCCGAGGTACAAAAGCGATAAACGGTCCGTCGGATTATAGCCGCGGGGAATTGCCCTTGACCGTTTTCGCGCCGTCGAGCATGGCGCTCTGGTTACGAATTGTTAGGAGGAAAGTAACGGGGATGGGTTTTTCCTCGAGCGCGGAACCAGCGAACGTCTACGAGCCCGAATATTAATTTCGTGGTTCGCACATCGCGGGATTCTATTTGCCGTCGGGAGACACGGCGTATCTGTACGCGACCCGCGTTTAGATCGTCGAATCTCGATAACAGCTCCCTGACCGAAAATGAAGATCGGAGCGTAAGGCAAGTGGAGACTGACGGGAAAGTAAATAAAACCCCTGGAAAGCGCAGATTGAAACAGCGAAACGTAAAAGAAGCGCCAGCTACTTCAAATGCTCCTTTTACATTTCGCTGTTTCAATTTACGCCTCCTAGGAGTTTTATTTACTTTTCTGTCAGGGAAATCTACAAGTTGCTGATGTCGAGACTTCTCGATATCGTTAACTAGCATCAACCAGTGAAAGCTGCGCCTTCGTCAACGCTCGTCTTTGCCATTGGCTGTCGCTAATTGACGATACCGAGAAGCGTGGATTGCAAGCTAACGGAATCCCCGTTGAGGTGCCGGGCGGGCTCGATCGATAGCTCAGGTGTGAATTGTATAAAAAAAAAAATATTTCTCTTCGCAACCGCGGCGCGTTTTCGAAGATAAGGAAAACACTCGAGGGTCTCGACATTCGTTCCAGGACACGCTGTACATTGTCGAGGCCGCGCGAAGGCGAAGCATCGCGCGCGCGACGCAACGGCGCACTTGCGGTCCACGGCGCCGCTCGCGTCATCGCCCGCCGTCGCCGTCGCCGTCGCCGTCGGTGCCTATCGACTATCCGCGCGCCTGCCCGCCTGCCTGCCCGCCGAGGGAGCAGCGTAGTTTTGCAGTTTCGACGCACCGCCGCCGTGTGTGCGACGATGGAGGTGCAACGGCTGTGCAAAGGTAGGACCGATTACCGCATGATCGCGCGGAGAAGTCACGGGATCGCTCTCTCGCACACCTCGGCCTTCCGCGTCTCTCCCACTCGGCCGACGGCTCGCTCGCGGACGCACGGCCGTGGCCAGCCGAGAGGGACGTTTCACGCGCTTGGAGTGCGCCGAGAAGCGCCTTTCGCCGCTCCCGCTGCGGGCGGAAAAGAGCCCCGATCGCCGTCCGCCGACCCGTGGGAAATCCCGAGCGCGCGAGCGAGCCATTTTGAGGCGCCTACGTTGAGGCGCGCGCGAACGGGGATTCGAGCCGCGGCGACTTCTCGCCGAGAAGCGGAGACGACGCTCTCCGCGCGCCCGTGAACTCGCTCGCTCGCCCGCCGACGCGAACAGTCTCTTTTTCCTCGGATTCTCCTCCCTCCCCGCCGTTCTCCGCGCGGGTCCCGGAGGCTCGAATTGTAATCGCGGATGAAGCCGAGTTTTCCGCATCGGAGCGTTATCGCGCGTATTTCCGGTTGCACCGTCGACTTGCTCGCGCGAGGAGGCGGCGAGAAACGCGCGGGAGCGCGTAGAAAAATCGCGCGTCCCGATATCCATTTGATCAATAATGAAATTTCTGTTTTCGTCACGAGAGCTTGACCCGGTTTCCGTCCCCGGTATCGAAATGCCACGGTGCTATCGTAACATCGATATTTCGCTCACGTCGCGTCACCGGACGCCTTTGTGCGCTGAATTCCGCGAGGCCGGGCCTAACTCGGTAAGTTCGTTCCACTGGAAACGAGTTAGCCGATAAACTTATCGCGTTAGGACGTCTGACTGTATTTGGGAAACTAATCTCGATCGATTTGGCTATATTTAGAATAGGCCCCAGAGATCCGCCGCACTTCGCTCTGCCCATATCTGAAATTACGAAATTTTATTCATGCCCGTCCCTGACGCACACGACCGTTCGATATATTTACGCTATAATACGTTAATGTACAGAGGAAAGTACTCTATTATGAGACAGGCTTCTAATATGAGATAGCGGGTTTTCAGCATGAAAATTTATTAAGTTAATGTACAGAGGAAAGTATTGAATTATGCGATAGGCTTCTAATATGAGACAGTAGGTTTTCAGCATCAACATTCTATAAGTTAAATGTACAGAGGAAAGTCCTTTGTTATGAGATAAGCTTCTAAAATGAGACAGCGGGTTGTTAAAATTGAATAACTTAATCTATAGAGGAAAGTCCTCTGTTATGAGATAAGCTTCTAAAATGAGACAGCGGGTTTTTAAAATTAAAATTGAATAACTTAATATATAGAGGAAATTCTTTAATTATGAAATAGGCTTTTAATATGAGATAGCAGGTTTTCAGCATCAAAATTTAATAAGTTAATATACAGAGGAAAATTCTCTGTTATGAGATAGGCTTATGAGATAGCAGGTTTTCAACATCCAAATTTAATAAGTTAATGTATATGTAGAGGAAAGTCTCCTCTATTATGCGATAGACTTCTAATATGATGGGACAAAGTTGAATATATTGTACTTGAAATCTCGAGACAAAGGCCGAATAAATTTCCCTTTCTCGAATTCGAATAATATTTGCAAGAATAATATTGCATACGTTATACTTGCAAAATAATCGAATTCCGATTCGTTAGTTTCGAATGTTAGAATGAGCGAGCCTGCAGGATTCGAAATGTATTTGTTGGAACTGGCTTCTATCGTAAAGACTCGACTTTTACGTGTGTTCGAACAGATATAAAAGTTATCACGTAATAAAAAGATGCGTACACATACATTATATTACGCATCAAATTTCTAGTAAAGTATTCGTAAGAGGCTCGAGCGTATCTACTTGGAAGTAACCCAGTGAGAAATGATTCGTCGATCGACGTCGAAACGACGTCGAATCGACATCAACACCGTCTAATTGACGTCGATTCGACATCATTTCGACGTCGATCGACGAATCATTTCTCACTGGGAACACTCCTGTTTTTCAAGATAGTTATAGAGGGTTCGACCCTATTTCATCCATTTCGAGTACGCTTGAAGTATTATGGTACTTTTATTTCGCCGGGTAATCAACTCGAAACTACGCCATTCGTAGATTCGAGACTACTTGCAAGATACTTAAGCCCGTCGCTAATGCTAATTAAGTGTAGAATCACGTAATATGTTGTTTACAACTGCGCACCGATCTATAAATCTAACAATAAGCCTCTTATAGGACAAATCTTATAATAGAACTTCATACTTCATGAAACAGATGTTATTTACAAATCATTCCCTCAAACTATTTTAAAGTTTTAATTTTGCTATTTCACAATTTGTTTTATTTCAACAAAACTTCGTTTCGTATATATTTCCTTTGTTTTCTTCCCCTTTATTTACGATGGCTACAACAAGGATTGATTTGGTCTTACCGTACAGACGCGAATGGCAATTAATTTTACAAACAAAATTGCAATAATGACGTTGGAGCAAATTATTAATTGAAATTGTAGAATTTCTCAAATCTTTGTTTTTCGCTCCCTGCCAAAAGGCTTGAATTTATCTAATGATGCTGTATGGAACCATTCATTGGCTACAGGGTATCTAAAGATGATCTTCAGACGACATAGAAAATCTTACAATATAAGATCTCACTATGAATACCGGTGTTCTTGGTATTTTTTTGTTCCTTTGTTTGCGGAAATTTCTTGTCGTCCTTATAGAGAGAGTGAAGAGGCAAAGTTTAATTATCTAATAATCGATGTTGATGTGATTAATCCATATCACTGCGTATGTTGAAAATCAATCGCGTGCGTTGAAAACCAATCGCGTGCATTGTCTTGTGCCATTAATCTCATCTTCGATAATGCGATAAGATTTCACTTATTAAAGAATGCGAAGGCTCATTTTGCCTAACAATAAATTCTACGTTCTAATAATACCCAATTCGTAATTTTTCTTACATTAGCACTAGTGCCATTTAGTAGAGATTGTATATATAACATTATTGGATTTATTGCGTAGTTTGTTTCTTTATCTTACAATTAAATATCTGTATCAGTTACTTTAGAAGCTCTCTAAATCCAATTCCTATTGTAATCGTTAAGTAGGGGAAGAAAAGAAGGAGAATACAAGACAAAAATTTTGTTTAATTGCAAACAAAGCGTAAAATAGAAAAATTGGGCTTCGAAATCATAGTTTGGGAGAATGATTGGATAAGAAACGAGTTTAATTTTTTTAAATACTTGAAAAATTAAAACAAAATGCTAAATATAAATTGATACAGTAATGTCATCAATTTTAGCAATATTTCCGACTTCGTCTATTATTATTATTATTTTCAAGGTACATAAGGTATAATTTTCCAAGAACATTAATAAATTGAAATTCTGTCATCGATTCCGCGATGCAGTCCTTTCCTTCCGTAATTGTTCAATAATTGCTATATTAATGTTTAACTTCCCGCTCTGTCTCTCAAAAAGATATGTTATCTATTTTGTTTTTGTAAACTACATTAAGAGTATCGATTATTTGGTACTTAAGATGTTATCATATTTCGAGTGGAAGATAAACAGAAGTTTCACATCAATTTTGCATCAATTAATACCATTTACCATCCAAATAATGCGCATTTTGCTGTCAGTAAAATATGCTATCAATTTTCCGTCATAAAGTCATTTTAATTATTTTCCCTTTATGTCCTTCCATTGTTTTTACAGTTTTCTATTTATATAATTTGTTTGGATTGCAAATTTTTCTACATTCAATTCAAAAAGCAAATGTTATTTAACTACGTTGAAAATACAATTACAAACATTACAAGAATAAGAATAATCTCCTGCACAGCTTTTTCAATGTTACGTTGAAAATATTATCCAATTCCATTGAAATTTTGTCCTTAAACATTTTTAGTTAGATAAAGTTTAAAAAAGATAATATCTGTTATTATTCTTGTGATATAAGACTGAAGATAAATGTAGTTTCGACAAGAATACGTAATGATGATAACCAATTTCCTGATTAGATTTACAAATTAATAAAATATATATCTGACTTAAAACAGAGCGTGGTTTCGAGAAGTTCTGCAATAACAGAAGATCTTTATTATTTTGAAGACATAGAAGTGAATGTTCTCCCGGATAAACTCTCGCGTAGCGCATCTCGTGTAATGTCTCGCATGTAAAGATGATTCTTACACCGGAATGATATTATATTAAAATTGTTATTAGACGTTAATTGTTTAATACGTTCAAATATCGATAATACATCCATCGTTAAATATCGCTGCACTTAGGTATGTTACTACCAACACAACTGTGTCAGCATATTCCAAAATGATTGTACTCATTCGGTATAGTAAACATTCGAAGTAAGCCATACTTTCTCAAGGAACCGTTACCTCAACGACAATAAAAAAAAAAGTCTTTAACATATCTACAGAACCTGAAACGCATATACCGCTTGCCCTGATAGGTGCGTAAAGAATGAAGTAAAAAAATTCGGCCGTTTAAAATACGATATCCTCAAAAAACTTTCTTTAAGTGTCAAAAGTCAGAATTTATATATTTCTTAACCCACGTATTAGTTAACGGCAGAATAAAAGATTGCTATTAATTGAAAATCGGACTATCGACTTTTTGCCTGTTTCTTTCCTTTGTCTTCCCTTAAATAAAATAAGTTTGCCTTAAATTAAATTAAATATGCCTTCGAAAACTTTTTAACACTTAAAGTTAGTTTGTAGATAATTTAGTTACAAAGTTTAAAAGAACATGTAATGTTTGTTATTGCATTATCATTCTTGTGAAACCGTGATAAAACTAACAAACGAAAAAGGTCAAAACATTTCGAGACGTCCATCGATATAGTCACAGTTCGCTCAAAGTTCTTTTCAATCAATAGACTGTTGATACTTTTTTTAAATAAAAAATATTTGAACTCTGAATATTACATATATTCTACGCACGTTTTCGATAAGGAAACGGAAATGTTTGCGAGATAGAAATGGTTCTCTTTATTCAACGCAACAATATTTTACACTTGTCTAATATCGAAAGAAAAAAAAACAGATAAAACATATTTGGTATTAAAATCGAAACGTATCTTGCATTTGTTGCTTTATATAGTGAATAAAAAATATTTATATTAAAAATACAATATCTTTATTTTACAATAGACATGCTGATGTTGAAACTATGCCGATTTATCCATAGATGTCTCATATTTAGTTTAAAATTCGTATAATTATTCGGGTATGTGTTTCAGCCATTAATGCTCTTTACTCGTGCAACTTGAATGTTTTATCTACAGAAACACGTAAATTATTAAAGTTAAAAGTTACAAATAAAAAATATATAAGCTTTGCAAGAAAAGTACCTCATAATACGCCTATTATCCGGGATACCATATCTCGTATTTAGTTTAAAATGTATGTGGTTCCTGTTTTTCAACTAAAATGAAGCTCGCACATGATTTGTGTCGAAATAGAGCATAGATCTTGATGTCGTTAACAATCTCATTATTTCGATCAAAAAATAATGTATCTTAATTACTCGTAATCTGGCAAAATTATCAAATATCACGAGACAAATATCGGTCCGCGACACTATCGAATAATCGCAGGCATCCCTACCTTACTCGCGGCGTAAACAAAGGAAATTGGAGGCGCCGGGGCGACGGGTACGGACGCGTCGCGTCGTTCTCGGGCCTTTGCTGGCGAGTCGTGAATCGTTGCTGGTCAGTGCGTCTCGTTTAACGACACGGGCTGCAGCGGCCAGCAACGGTGAATGATCGGCGAGCACGACGCGTTCGGTCCGGAATCCGCTTGGAAAACCAGTTGCTCCATCGCTCGTTTAGGACAATGTTTTGGCCACGCATAGTTCGACGTTCTCCACAAGAGTCTGAGTCCAGCGCGAAAAGTGAGTGCTAACGTCGATGCTCGGATACTTGACGGCTGCTCCTATTTCAGGACACGGACGAACCGCATGGAACTAACATGAGGGGATTGATACTCTTTCTTAGACACTTAAACATTTGTTCCTTCCTAGAGACATCGATTGTGTATGAGGAACATTTATAAAATAATAAGTTTCTCAATAAAGAAACATCGCTGCGAAACAGCTGCCTGAATTATCTATAATCACGCGAAAATAATTATACAATTATGTGTAAGTTAAGCAATTATTTTCGTGTGATTTATATTTTTTGTTAATTCACATTTTTTCGGCATCGTATTTCAAACGTTTCGATTATTTGTAATAATCGAGATGTTTATTTGGAACATTTTACAATTATGTATAATACAAGCAATTCTTCCTGTGCGATTTATATATTTTATTAATTCAATTCTTTTAGGATATCGTATTTTAAACGCTTTGATTATTTGACATAATCCAGATATTGGAGTATACTATTAATATACTACTATTATCTTCTAAATTTTTTTTTAAACTTCTCTCCAACTTCGAGAAATACGAGAGTCTTTGCAGAGTTTTGTAGAAAGGCTTTGTAGAGGAAACTTTTGTAAAATCCCAGATAACACGTGACATGGTTCATATACGTTTTATATATGTTTCTTAAGTCTATCTAAACTTTTAGGAAACATAAAAACATGTTCTACTTGGAAAATTGTGTCCTTTTTATCTTAGTACTGGATACTGATAGCCAGTATCGGATAAATACTGTGTTTATTTTTATGCATTGTTTTCGAAGTGCGATCTAAAACGAATGAATGTGCTGCTATTGTATCAAATTTAATGCAATATCTGAGAAATTTACATTCATATCGCGCAAGTAAATAAATTCTCCTTTTAATTTGGATAATGGGTGTTTCTTTGGAGATATATTGACCTGTAATAAATGTGTTACACACATACATGCATCAAAGCAATTTTGTTAACGAACGTTTCACTGATCTGCATCATCTTCACATAAGGACGGCAATATTTCTTCTATTGAGAAGAACGGAATTTGCACTTTGCTTATATTTTTTTGTTTTCTGTGTCTTCACAAATCTATTAATAGCATTCCTGTGTAGCTTTTTACAGTGATATCGTCTTCGACGTGCCTGGAATTGACTTTAATGATAAAAGTTTCACGAATTTGCCATTGCACAAGCGTTCAACTTTTTTATTTCCGCGAGTGCGCGCGCGCAATATTGGATAACACATTTTTATCTTTTCTATCCCGCTCCCCCCCTCCAAATATCTTCTCTACAAAAGTAACGATATCATCACATGGCGCAAACTAAACTGAATATTTATACAAACTAGGTACTTTATATTATTTATTTTTTATATTAAAATGTTGTAGCCAAAAAATCGAGCATAAAATTTTATCGGATGAAATAAAGGAAATGACAATATTAATGAGACAAATTTTTTATACTTATTCAATAAAAATTTAATGCAAACAAATTTAATACAAATAAATATTTTATTAAAAGATCACCTTTTCTAATTTACATAATTGTGGGATACATATCGATCCTGATTCATGATATCATTATTTATTAAAAAAACTTGGCGCTGCTAGACCAAATGTTAATTACGCTCTTCTCCCTTCCTTACAAAAGTGTTAAACTCTTTCTTTTGTGCATACGTGTACGCGCGAGTATGGGTTATGAATTAGGAATTACAGTTAATTTTAAGTTTAGATTGTATATTTCAACGGTTTCGCAGCGCTCATCAGCCTATCGAGTCCGACCTACCGCTTTCCTCGCGCTTATTCCCTCAAACGTTTTATAGAATTACTCGATAACTATTGCAAACTTTACAAAATATTATAGCACTTTTCTGTTCAACCGTTCTACCTGTATACGAGCGGATGGACACCTTATTCGTAACATCCTTTATATGTGTATACATTTAGGTATGTACATATGTATGTATGTATACTAGGACCGGTATTCGTAGTCAGTTCTTATACTCAAGACCATCGTGAATTTATCTAAAGACGCTGTATGGAACATTTTATTGGCTACGGAGTATCTAAAGATCTTAAAACAGTCTTGAATATAAGATCTCACTATGAATACCGGTCCTCCCCAGTGAGAAATGATTCGTCGATCGACGTCGAAACGACGTCGAATTGGCGTCAATTCGACATCATTTCTCACTGGGTCCCTAAAGAAAAAGTATACAGAAGGTATACACAATCTCTGTATGCGTATACAGAGTTTCTATATCCGTATATTGAATATGTATATTCTATTCCTCATTCTGTGTATACTTTTTCTCTAGGGCTAGTATACATATGAATGTTCATATGTACATACATAGAAAGAAAATAATGTTTCAACAAGATCAGTGTAATTGAAACAAAATTCGTGATATCACCTTAAAAAAGAATCTTTTTTAATAAGAAAAAGGTTAAAAAGGACGCCAATTTGACATGATTTCGTCAATCAAACTGTCGAGAATAACAAAATGAGAAATAACAAAATATTTGCGAATAGATAAGTAGTGATGTCGCAACATGACATTTCAGCTATTAGATAGGCTGAACAATTCCCGAGGTTATCGCGCTAACATCTTGACGCATACGATGAAATTTTGCTTTGAGGAAATTACGATGCTCTCCATATATGTATATGCGTATAATCTCGATAGACGCAAAAAAGATATAACGTTGCCTCGTGATGACTAATATTCTGACTTTGCCATTCTGGGAGACAACCGGTGTATTATTGAAGAGGTCTATTCACGTCACGTTATTGCGTTTCGATTGATCGATACCTCAGAATTCGGCAATAAATAAATGAATAACCGACTACGGGAAGGCGCGTTAAAATTAAATAGCAGAGAACAAGTACATGTGTACTAACGTATAAGTCATAAATAACAGTTTTTATCAATATTGGATTGGACGTAATATCGCCGGGATAAATATTTTCTCGGACAATCGGTTGCTTAATGTGGCAGTGCCATTGATATAACATTGAGCAATTATGTGTTTTTAAAGTATTATCTACTTTATACGCGGCAAAGCAACTAATTGCCCGAGAAAATATTTATTGCGTCGACATTACGTCGAATCCATTTTTATTATATTCTCTTTCACTTTTTCTCTCTCTTAAAGATTTAGATATAAACTTAAACAAATTGAATAGGTACTATTATTACTTTGTTGATAATAAAACGGTACATGAGCATGTACAATTCAAATAATCCTATACTTCACGTGAACGTTATGAATTGTATTTATAAAAATGATATTAGATATCTTTTCAAGAAGATTTGCAGTGAAAGAAAAACTGCAATTTTTCATTTTCGAGATTCTACATTTCCTGAAATTTTAATTTTTCTATCTGCTTTAATTTGTTCTTTATTTGTCTAAGGCTTTGTATTCTCTTAGAAAATCTCTGAAAAGTCATAAAATGTCGCGTTTAACCAAGAAGACGCAATCTATCTGATAATTATTTCTAATTTACATATTAATGAATTTTATAAGTATAAAATATACATATATAAAAGAATCATAAAAATTATAATTGTACGATGGAAAAATGTACATGTTTCAATACCATAAAATGAAATAACAAATAATAATATAACGTGCAAATAAAGAGCAATGTACTATTTTTTAAAACACAAAGAAAGCGTGAACAGTTGCAATTTCACAAAGTAAAATATATGTATATTATTGGTGATATAAGCAAACATGAAGATCAAATAGAAAGAAAAAAGAAACGTAAGATAGTATAGTCACAACATTAATATCTTACAGAGCAGAAATTTCTCGTTCCGCATCATATTTACAATGATAGTTCTTTCTTCATAAATGATGATAAACCTGTTTGCATTACTTGATTTTGCGTTCTTCATTTGTGTATTCATATATTTTTATACTGCATTAGACTATACACATTTACATTGTATAATCGTAATTATTTTACGAATTCTCTTTTATACACTTTATATTACAATTTTATAATATTTAAATTAAAAAAGCTTTAATCAAACATATTACATGTTTTTCGTTGAACGATATTTTAAGATTTTTAAAAAAATTACGTTTATGTCACCAGTTATTTATCTTAAATTCCAGAGTACACAAAATTGAAATAATCCGGTTTGAGCCTTGTCTTCCGAAAATTAAATTTATATCTTATTTTATCAGATGGTAAACGAATGTTACGATAAACATGAAGTAACAATTGAAACTTTCCGTTTTCCTTTGTTTCGTGACTAGTTTTCGAATTGAACATCTGTTGCACACATCAATGGAATACTGATTTGTCTTATATAATGGTATGACAATTGATCAGGTTTTTTGCAGTGCTTCAACGCGTCATCGCGTGAGCGCAAAATAAACGAGTGCGTTGTGACAAGTGTTTGAGGGGATAAATCTTATCCCGTTAAATAAATCTGTATTAATACTTTTGATTTCTTCATACATTACAATCACTCGCACTAAAATTTTGTACGGTCTCTCTGTCCAGTCAGCGCTCTCCTCACATATATAACGAAAGTTTAATGCAAAACTTACATGATTATGGCCTTTATTTACTTATTTAAGAAATTAAAACCAAACACTTTTCACATACGTTTTATAACATTTCATTGCATTGTTACATTAAATGTTACACAATGTTAATACACGTCCAACTAATCACGTGTGATTCTCAAAGCCCACTTTATTTCTTGTTACTTATTAACTTCAATATCGGGAGTGTTTAGTTAATTATATTATCGATTTATTTAATACTTTTCGTTTAACGAAAAACTTCTGTGACAATAACTGTGTTAATAACAAATTGTTCTGTAAAAACGTTACATATATTTGTGTGCTAACTTTATTTGTTGAAAATAATTTAATTGAATTCATTGCCAAAGTAATAATAAATAGTGTAGGGAAAAACAGAATCCAACTCGGGACGAACTATTTCGTTTCAGCAATAGAACTTGCGACAGCCTTTACAAAGCCTTGCAAATTTCACTGGAAAATCATATTATATTTTTACTTTTGATTTAAGATAACTGCTCTTTTCATAACTGGTCATCATTGTTTGCAGCAACCCCCGCTATTGGCGATGCCTCGAAGAATCAAACTCCGCCAACGCTTCTTTCAAGTTTAAGGAGCGTACTCTTCGTTATCGGAACTGTAGTGATCGGGTTCGCCGCCTTCTGTAATTCTCTGACATGGTAATTGCAATTCACCGTTTCTGTTTCGCTTTAAGATTCACATAAACAGAGTTACAATCTAACCTTCCTTGAACCTCTTTCTACTCTCTATCGGTTAACTTCTGTAAACTTCAATAATACAAGATAAAAAATGTCAAGTTGAACAGATATTTAACACAAAAATTGTACGTTACTGGACTACAATATTCATAATTATACAGTATCGTAATGTTAACTAATGTTTCGTACAATTTTATTTTATTTAGTGTCTTTTAATTTCTCCTCTTGCATTGTTCTTTTGCTACAATACTTTATATCTAATCGCATATACATACAATAATTATTAGGTGTGCAAATTAATTCATATCTTCAACTTCGTGCTTTCCTAATTACTATTTTCAATTTTAATGTCTTTCCATACTTTTCTCTGGACTTGAAGTGTTAATAACGTTTGCAAATACTCCTTTCCAAGGTAGATCAAAAACAATCATAGAAAACAGTGAACATGAGGGTCTTTGATAAAATTCATTGAAAGCAGGCATTCTACGTTCTTTTGACATTCGAATTTATAAAATGCCACTGAAACCGCTGAAATGGTTCTACTCTTGGTGAAACTGCTTATAAAATGTTTAAAAAATTATATCAGAGATATCGCGATGGAAATTTGATATGATCAAGAATATGCCAGCTAATCTGAAACGTTTGAGAAAACTTGCAACAACTTTTGAGTTAGAATTCCGCGCAGACACGGAACAAACTCGCCTAACAGTTTAAAATCATGCGGGAAGTCATTCCCGTTGGTTACAATGACTGGGAGAAATTTAGAAAGAGAGTAAATGGATTCCGCTAACAATAAGTGAAGACAACAATGGACACTTCGATATAACGATGACTTTGTTGTCCAGAAAGAAAAGAAAGAATTTCTTTCACTAAATTATGATGAGAAATGGATTCTATATGGTAATTTTCAACGAAAATGTCATGAGTGGATCCAACTGCAAAGCTCAACATTCACAACAAGAAGACTGAGCTTCTCAGAAAATATTGTGACATCTTAAAAATGTCTAAAAGACATCTTAGTTTAGACCACTTTTAGAAATATTGTAAAATAAAAATTAATATTACGGAAATACATTAACGAGAAGAAAAATACGAAAGAGGATTAGTAATATTAATAATTCTTAATAAGTAATAAACTAAACTAGTTTTACTAATACTTAATAATTCAGTATATAAATCATTCAATATTTAGATATCTTTGATAACAATCTATCTCTCAAGTAGCAAGCTGATATTATTTGTCACTTTGATAAAAATGTTTAATAGCAAAAATGTTTGCTATTAGATAGAGATCGATTTTTTTTCGGTAGCAAAGTTATATATAAAACCAACGGAACACGATACTATTTTTGCTACTGGATTGTTTACGAGAACCAATAAGGATGCAGAGTTTCAGATGACTTACGCCTAATCTACAATGTGCTCTTTGCGTCTAGAAATTCGGTTTTATATAAGCAAATCAAAACGCTTGAAAAAATTAGTCGACAACGTTTGATTGTACAACGTATAATATACAATTTATCAACTTGCACAAATTTTTAAAATGTATTTACTGGCTACCAAATAGAATGTTTCTAAATGCAAGGAGCACATTGTAGATTAGGGTTTAAGGTTAAATTCTGATTGGCTCTCGTAAGCAATCCAGTAGGAAAAATAGTATCGTGTGTCGTTGGCTCAAGTATTAAGTCATTGATGCGCAAATGTATCAAATAATTCCAACTGCTCTCTACCGCGTATTTTTCCTCTTATTAACGCATTTCCGAGTACTTTGTCTTCATGTGACTCTAAATAATGTAAGTACGATATGTGAATATCAAATTATATTAGCAGTAAATATTTTTATAAGCTATGTTATGTCCAAATTAATGATGTCATATGTATTTTCGAAAAAGAGAAATTGAAAAATGTATAAATACCTGTACATGTTTCAAAAAACGTCTTATAAAAGACAATTGTCAGACGTCTTTTCGGAAAGTCTTAAGAAAGATATCTTTTGGATATGCAAGTTGTCTAGATATTGTGAGACATGTACACTCTATGAATTGCTAAATCCAGACGAAACAGTCAACAACAAGTCATCGATCTGAGCTATGTATTGGAACGAAAGATACTGTTTACTGGTCAAGGAAGCCATAAAGGGATCTTGATCCACAACGCTCGGCCACAAAGGCGATAAAGGATGTCATCTTCTCCTTGAGCTGGGAAATTCTCCCTTACGCTGCTTATTCATCAGACATGCAGACCCGTGGTCTCTTCAGATTACCATTTATTTAAATTGTTATTATACATTATTTGACCAATACACACTTTAAGGCCGGCATTCATAGTCGAATCTTCTATTCAAGACCGTTTTGAATTTATCTAAAGATACTGTACGGAACATTTCATTGGCTACGGAATATCTAAAGATGATCTTGAGACGGTCTTGAATATAAGATCTGACTATGAATACCGGCCTAAGACAATTGAGAATGTCCAAATATGCCTCGATATCTTTCCTTAGACCATCCTCAGTGTACAAAAAGAAAAAGAATAAAAGGAAATAATTTAAATTAAAAAATTAAAGGTTAAAATTCGCTCGCAACGCAATATATAAAAAATATAAAATGTAGCTGTATTCGGATTTATTACGACTGCAAATCGAAAGATCATCGTTTCGCCAAGATATAAGTTTTGGTGTTATAGAGCTGGTAAATATCGACTAGCTAGTCGACATTTTATATCTTTTATATATTGCGTTGCGAGCGAATTTTAACCTTTGATTTTTATATTTAAATTATTTCCTTTTATTCTTTTTCTTTTTACATATACACTGAGGATGGTCTAAAGAAAGACCGAAAACGAAACTTTTACTATTGTGACACTAACACCTTGTCAAGGCTCTTAGCCCTTTTATTCGTTGATTTACAACCAATTAATTTTTCTAAATTTTACTAACGAAGAAGAAATTTCAGGCATTTACAAAGATTCTGGGGTGCATCCGGCGACTTTTGGCAAGCTCAGTGGGACAAAATTTTGGATAAATTTGGAGATGACCCTGTCACATTATGGGTTTACGGTAAGTTCGAGATACACACACGAGATACACACTAGTCCTTATATGGTAAACTCAAAAGATTTATGGTAGCAAATTGTTGCCTGAACGCCTGCCCACGCTGAATATATTATATTCAGCGTATACACTTTTCATGGAAAAAATGATTAATAATTGATATAAGAGTATATTGTAAGTTTTAAAGGCAAATTTTCTGATTAATTTGACATTTCTTAAATTGTAACTGTAAATAATCATAGGATTTTTATAAAGTTTTTGATAGCAACTAAGCTCTTTTATACAATATTTTAATATTCATGGATATGAAAAATGTGACAACAAATGACTTTTGTCGAAATTCTTAAATAAAATAGACTTCAAATTTTTCATTAACATGACAATTAGGAATTCTGGGATAACGTCTCTCATATTTTTGCATATATTTATTACATACGTCACTTGACTTTTTTTACTGATTGCACTATCTGCCATTTGTCACGATTATCATATTATCGGCTAATACATTTATGTTTACGAACATGGTTGGAAATATAGAAGAGAAGAGAAGCACCTCGCAGCGCTCGAATTCGTGTCACTGAACGTTAATTAAATAATCTCGTATATAGATATGTATATCAATTGTCGTGTTGCAGGATCTCTAGTGCTGACGATCGCGGTTTACTGGATCGTCGGTGGAATTTACATTATCCTAGACCTCACCAACCGACCGTCGACGTTGCGCAGATACAAAATACAGCCCGGCACGAACGAGCCAGTGGACAAAAGGGAGTTATGCAAAGTGATCGCTCAAGTACTGTTCAATCAGATCGTCGTCGGCTTACCCATTATGTATCTCGGCTATTACTTCATGGAATGGCGCGGTTACCCCCCGGTGCGCGAGCTACCGACCTTCCACTGGGTGCTGGCCGAGATCGCGATTCACATATTATGCGAGGAAATTGGCTTTTATTACTCGCACAGGTACATCCTGTTTGGAAGCCACTAGCATAGGTCCATGCACAACATTCATGAAACGATAAATCTTATGCAAATTAAATTTACATTCGAAACGGCCGCTAACATTGTTAACTTGAAATTAACTGCTCTGACGAGGAGGTAGAAAAAGTTGATAATTAGAGAAAATCAAATATGCTAACAACTTGACAGGATCAAGCTTGCGTCAGGAATAGGTCGACAAGCATCGCCACTAAAATTTGTTTCATCGAAAAGAAGAAAATTAACGATACGTTATACACAAATACGTGCAACATTGAATAAAATTATCAATATATGCTAAGCAGATAAAAAACGCAGGTTTATATTTTACAATTCAATTCTGTTGATACATTAGCTACATTATTGGTATATGTGTAAATCTAACAAATTATTACATCCCGAAATTTCTTGAAAAAGGCTTGAAGAAACGAATATGTTCAATATGTGATATAGATGTACACATGCGTAATAACTATACGAAAGTTGACTACACTTAGTTGTCAACGTAGTTTATAATTGCGGAAAACAGATATGAATACAGATAATGTCCAGTTAAACTTCTGATAGAAAGTTTTAGACAAAATTTTCCAATAACTGTACAAAATATCACAATTTTTTATTAAATTACTAATCATTAATGGTTCCTAACGTTCGACACGTTGTGTAACGTGTATAATATTAGATTGACTTAAAAATTAAGGAGTTACATTTGATGATAAATGGACATTTACATATATCACGTATATTCAGATATCGTCAAAATATTTACTGTCATTAATTGTAAATTATTTTACAGATTTCTTCATAAGCGTTCTCTATACAAACATATACATAAGCAGCATCACGAATGGACTGCGCCCATAGCTGTCACTGCTTTGTATTGTCATCCCTTGGAAAACATCGGTTCGAACCTACTTCCACCCTTCTTGGGCGTATTCATCATGGGCTCCCACGTGGCCACCGCCTGGATTTGGTTCTCGCTTGCGATTCTTTCGACATTAAATGCACATTCTGGTTATCATTTACCGTTCTTCCCATCGCCGGAAGCGCATGACTTTCATCACTTAAAGTAATGCAAACCTCGTTACAATATTTTTAATTTCATTAGAACTTCGATTTCGAGTTATTATAAATCCTCAAAACGAGTTTTGGAACGTAGAATATGATCTCTTCACATTAAGTTTAACATGAAAGATTTATAGTTGCGTGATTATACAATTGATTTATTATCGCTTTAAATTCTTTCAGATTCAACCAATGCTACGGTGTGCTTGGCGTTTTAGACCGCATCCACGGTACCGACACGCAATTTCGCAACTCGCGGAATTACGCGCGTCATATAATGATGCTTAGTCTCATACCGCCCAGGGAGGCTTTCCCAGATGAGGCAAAGTACAAGTCGAAGTAAAGGGACCTCTCGGTGACCCTGTATGAAAGTTCACAGAAGGTAATCTCCGAAGAAAAAAATTTATTCGCGTTGAATGCAATTTCCTCAGCGGCGACCGAGTTCGAAAACAATAGATCGTAAATATAATCGATTTTATCCGGTGGAGCGACAATTAAGCTTCTTCAACAAAAAAAATTGAATTAATTTCAATAAATGCGTAATTATCGAACGTTCTGTAGCAATTATCTTTTTCAATTGGAGAATTCATAAGTAGTAATCACGTTTACTTTTATAAATGATTTTTAATAGTTTTAGCATTGAATATTAACATTCCTTTTGAATTTATCCTTATCAACGCTTCATTTATTCCTGTGTCAAAATTTGAAATTTTCCATATATTTGTTTTAATTTTATTCAATGTATGTATCATATATATGTAGTGCAATATTTAACTTACTGGTTAAATAACTCTCGTGAAGGAAACTCGGCTCACTGATTTAGTGATAATGACTGTATATACAAATGCCATTCAAGGTTGGACTGAATAGAGAAAATAGCGAAAAGATTCCGGAGGTTTGAGGCAGGATGATTGAATTTATATTTGTAAACTACCAATAAGAGGATAACAAAGTTATTAAGAAGATTCGATAGTTGCTTTATTTTTACTTTAAGAGCAACAAACTGCATTTTCAATTATCTAAATCTTTGTTGGATTGATTTATAATATAAATATCTCCAATAAAGCCTTCAATTTCCAAATTTACATGTTACATTGATTCATAAATAAGTTCTGCTTGATGGTAAAAAGTCCCTCAGTTACAAATCGCTACACATAATTGTGCATACCGTCTTACAAGATTGTGAAAGTGAAACCTTAAAATAGAGGATTTGAAAGTATATATGCGTCACATAATGCCTTGGGAATTTAAAGACGGGAATAATACTGTAGCGATTAAAGAAATTTTAACGTATATGAAAGTGTCGTAACAAATCGAGCAGAACAAAAGTGGTTTGCGAAGGTTTTTTACAGAGACAAGTTTGAAAGATAAATTACAGACAGATCGTAATTCTGACATTAATGATAAGGTTTTATTAGTACAACAAAATTCACAGCAACATAGGAGAGACACTAAATAATCGCAACCCATCATAATTCCGTCATGCAGAGAAATAGAAAAATTGAATTTATTTATGCATCAACTTAATATTTCATTTATATACGGGCAAATTTGTTTATGTATTTAGTAAAATTATATTCTCAAAATTGTATGAGACGGATATGTGAAATTCTCCGATAATTATTTCTCGAATTTTTCTTTCAGTTCAACCTTGGCGCCATTCGTACTTTTCTATAATATTTGTAGTATTATTGTTAAAAGTATATGTATTATTGTATTTAAGCTGTATATTCATGCACAAATTCTTACATTAAATTTAAAGCGTATTTTTTACACTCCTGAAACTTTCTTAATGTAATAAATTGACCAGTTTACTTTATTGATAATGATGGAAAAAGATGAAGCGAAAAATAAAAACTAAAGATTTATTATTATTGATATTATCGTAAAACTTCTATTCATACATTCTTAAGCTGATTCACATTTAAAATTACATTACTTTTGTAATACTTTCATGTATATTGTATTATAAAGACAAATAACATTTCAAATAAAGAAATTACTATTTTTATATTTAGTTCCATAGCGCAGGCATTAACTTGATTTAATTTTAATCTAAGATGAGATATAAATAACTGTACTTCTTTAAAATAAATATAACTTTATTAGAATATTAGAAAAAAGGACGTTTAGGAATTTGGATTTCTCCTTACACTGAGAGAAAAGTATATTAAATCAAAGTATATCATACTGATTACATAGAAATAGGCGCACACTTATATATTAACACCAATAATTTTATCTGACAATGAATCTTTGGTGTAAAATATTTTCACGATATTCTGCATTTTTCTCGCGAGAGAGAGAGAGAGAGAGAGAGAGAGAGAGAGAGAGAGAGAGAGAGAGAGAGAGAGAGAGATATCCCCATTTGCGGAAACTGAATTAAAAGCATAAATATATATTCTTGTCTTATTTTACTAACTGTAATGATTTTAAGTCGTATTATCTAGCAAGATTTTATCACGCTGTTCTGGGAGATCTTAAGAGGATTTAAGGAAAAAAATATATATAAAACTGTTACTTTAAAGCCACCTTAGATCATTGTGTGAAGATTAATGAGAAATAAACCGAAGATCAATGTTTGAGTGTGCAGATGTGTAAAGCGTGCATATATGTAAAGCTCTCTTTCTGCATTGTGATTACTCGAGTATAAGGCTCGTAATTAACATGTACCATTAACGTTACTGAATTTATGTACCTATATGATAAGCTTAATAATAAAATCTTTACAAATATCATTCCCTTTCTTCATCTCTCAATGTGAAGTCTTTATGATGACGTGTACTATTATAATAAATAGGTACGAAAAATGATGTAACAACGGGAGACTTGCAAATATATATATATATTTTTTTTATATAACAATATATTTTTCTCTTACATAGACATGGTACAAAAATAATAATTATTATTGCTTTTTCCCACGTATATTTGATAAACTATAAACTTTTAAAGGCCTAAAACGCAACACTTTGCTTTAAAAAATCGCAATCTCAAAAGATCTTACATAGATTGAATTGAATAATTTCACAAATCATTGGCCATCATATTTACATAACGAGACGACATTTCCTAGTGTCTGCTCTGATATCATGTATGGCAATTATATAAAGTATCCGTACTTGATGAATAATCTAAATATTATAGATTGGACATTTGTAAATTATCCTGCAAAAAGATGCAACTTTACAGATACAGTACAAACAAAAAATGCAACAAACTTACAGTATATAAATCGAGCAGTTCTTTGGCAAAATTTCTGTACACTATCGCATTTCATTATTTAAACAGTTCTTATAAACTATGGTTTTTGCACGCGAAGGAAATCGTGTGCAATACTGTTCGCTGAGGGAGCACTTTTAAAGCACAATACAATTCTGTTTGAATCGAAGACGTAAGCCTGGCTCTGCAAGAATTCAGCTATTATTGTCAGATTTGGCAATTGGACCCGCTGTAAATCTCTCTTACATTCTCTAGTGCAAGAGATTGCATCAAATGTGACACGTACCTACATTGACATACAAAAGGAACGAAAAGTTGTCTCGGAAATATATAACATACATATATACAAAACAAAATTCGTTCGCATTAACAAGAAACACAAGATTTAAAAGAAATTTCCAAAGTGTATATGAATGCATGTATATATAAATATATATCTTTAAAAATATTTTAGAAAATTATATTACATTTAGGAGCTGCAGTGGAGTATTTACAAAACCGTTGTTACAAAGCCATCGACAATGTTCTCCTTCAATGCAAGCGTAAACCTCGTCGTTTCACGATTATTATAATAATTATCACTACATTATTAAGGCAAGTATGATAAAAAAATTGTATAGCAACTTTAGATATCAGTGCAATGAGCTCAGACATTATTACAATGTTATGATTAGCACGCTGTATCATTGAATATGTTTATAAAAGGGTATAAAGAGTCAAGATATCTTTGATATATTCTAATGATAGGTATCGTTGTCGTCCTGACATGTGTCGTTATGTAAGAAGGAATCAATGTAGAGTATTGTTACGCGGCTGTTTCAAGAGGACGTGTACATCTGCGTTTATGAAAATGGAAGAATATGGAAGAACGCGACCACCCGGCGAGAAATAACTCGTCTGGGCAAGTTCCGCCTACTATTTCCGGAAAGGACTTGAAGATTCGGTCTCGATTTAAGTGACAGTTTTTGACGTGTAAACTAGGAATATGCTAATGTCAAATTGGACAATAGCTTTAAGTCCAATTAAGTCCAATGTCGAAGACTGAAAGTGTCTAGTCTGAATCAGAAAAATTAATGGTTGCTGACCAATTGACTGAAAACTGTACAAGTTTAACTAATCACAAGAGTTTCATTGGACATCGACGGGGTTTCAAGTTGTTAATTTCTCGGTAGTTTTATTCAACTTGACGCCCGCGCATTCGTAATCTACGCATCAAATTCTCCTATCTTTCGCTTTATCGCCAAGATCCAGCTCTTTAATTCTTCCGGAAACACCGGGCGAGCTGCCTGCGGACTCCCTTTATGATTGATTGCCTCTTGCACAACGCCTGTTTAATCTCGTGGAACAGACTTTTTCTCATTCTCAATCATTGTACATTCCGTCGATCAGAAAATCCATCCTGCGATAGTGCCTTTTGTCCCAGCAGTCCCGACCGCGCCTGTACAAGACGAAGATCGCGGCGCCCAATATCGGTAGAGCGACGATCGTTATGATAACCGGCACAATGTAGTCGATTTTCCTCGGCATGCCCAGCGGGGGATTCTTCGTTCGCGAGAGCGGTACAGATTCGTTAATCTCAGGCCCGTCAACGGTCGTTACCGTCGGCTTCGGCTTCGGTACATGCTTCACGACATGCGAGGACGCCTGCGACGCTGCCGCGTTACTCGCGATCGCTGGACGAGACGTGGTTCCACTTGCCAGTGGCAAACTTGAATCGGAGCTTGAACTGCGATTCAAGCTATCGGCGGTGGGGTTTAATCTTGGGTTACCAGTGTCGGAAGTTTCGGACTTGATATGAGCTGTTTCTATCGCAGGACTACCTTCCATTGTGGACTTGGTGCTTTCGAAAATGGTCCGGTTAGACGGCGCATTTTCCTTCTCCGCATTCTGATCCGTACTACTCGTTGATATGACTGTATCCTGCTGGACTCCTTTCCTCGCTTTTATTTTCTCCTCGACGCCCTTCCTCGCGACCACAGAGCCCACGCGACTAGCGTATCTCTCCTTGGGCGCGCTCTCTCTTGCTCTGGAAGGCTCGTTGGAGTCAGTTGTAGCTTCAACGCCTCCGCGTTGAGATGTGGACATTAATATGAGTCCTCCTTCCGCCACGCTCGAGTACCGCTGGAAAAAAAAGGAACTACTTAACTTTCTTCAAAGACCAATTATCTTATATTCAGTAAAAACATATATTTTTAGACGCAAAGACCTATTAAAAGTCCTGTAAAGGCCCATGTCTATTTCTATCAATGCTGATTAACTTCAATCCCGGTTTAACTATGTTTTTAGCTTGTTTCAATTCCTAAAACTAGAAAAAGGATAAAAAGTAAGTTAAACCAAGGTATCAAAGTTAAACCGCATTAGTAGAAATGGGCATAAGTAAAATTGTAAAAGGGAGGTCCAGGTTCAATGAGGTGTTACTTTTTGCAACAGACTTAAAGTAAACATTCTTTAGCAAATCAATAAAATTCATAAGGCTCTCATGTGGTAAATACCAATTAATTCGAAGGAATAAAGACTTAAAGAGCCGCCACAGTATGTCTAAATATTTCTTATTTTTAAATTCGTTGCAAAAAAAAGATTATCTCAGCCAGGGTTTGAACTCCCTCGCGCTAAACGGGCTAAACAATTATTTAGACACTAACATCCTGCCTTGGCTCGTACTCCTTTATTACTTGGTATTCGCATTTTCACGTTAGAGCCTCAAGTGCGAATTTCATCAATTGTTTAACTGCATTCCATTAAATTCTGTTCAAATGACAGGAACGTCCAGACATTCCTGTCTGTTTACATACAGAGAACAGGTGTAAAGCCCAATGTCCACGATGCTAGGACTTGGTCCAAGTTCTAGTTTCGAGAAATCTGTAGCCAATCAATGTGCAGCTATTCCATAAAAGCTGCAAGTTGATTGGCTACACGTTTCTCTTGGACCAAGTTCTCGTTTTCTCGTAGTCGTAAGAATAATCGACTGCGATTGGTCAATTCAGTCAGACGCATAAGAATTGACCAATCATCGTCGATTATTCTTACGACTTTTATGTGGACGAGGGTTTATGCGGAATCCACAATGCGAGTCGCAGAGTCGCAGTCGTAAGTCCCAGTCTACAATAGAGATTTAAGCCCTAAGCCTTAAGAAATTGACTAATCACAGTCGCGCATTCTTCTCATACTTGACCGTGATTGGCCAATTTCTTAAAGCTTAGGGCTTAAATCATCTATTGTAGACTGGGACTAAGAATAATCGACTGCGATTGGTCCAATTCCAGCAGGCACACAAGAATCGACCAATCATCGTCGACTATTCTTACGACTACGACTTCTATGTGGACGAGGCTTTAGGAAGAAATGCAGCGCACATGCGAGCGGGAGGTGCGCGTTCGCGCCCGAACCTACCGGCGCTTTCTTGCCACCCGCTGCATCCGCGGGCCGGAGCGTCGGCGACGGCGGCGACGGTGCCGAGGACGCGCCAGCCGCCGCCGCCGCGTCGACGGACGAGGTTAGCGCCGCGAGCAGCGCGGCCGCCAGCAGCAGCAGCAGCGACGAGGACCGCTCGAACGCAGCCATATCGCGTCGCGGACCCGACCGGGTCGGGCGTGCACGACGACTCCGCTCCCTGGAGGCCGGCGGGGCGCGACGCACTGCCGCGAGGAACTTAAAATAAGGAGAGAAAGAAAAGAAACGGAGCTGCCCGCGACGACACCGCGATGGTCAGTCCATAACCGCTGATGGCCGTCGCGCCAACTGCGACTGTCGCGGAGCCTCTCTTCGTTTCGGCCGCACTTTCGCTTCACTGTTTCGCTCTCCTCTCTCTCTCTCTCCCTCCCTGCGGCTCGCTCCTTCTTTCTCTCTCCTTCGAGCTCGAGTATGTGCACGCGCGTATGTGTGCGCGCACGTATGTATGTATACACGGTGTCCCAGAATCGGCGCCCGAGTGCCGATTCTGTCTCTTACGCTTTAGTGAAGATGCTAAAAGTGAAATGACTTTGTTTCTTTATTAACTAATCGGCTCAGGTTCTGTAATTTAAAGAAGGGTAACGGGCTACTTGAGAACCACGCGCTGTAGGTGGTGCGCAGAAATCAACGCATTCCTTGTACGCTTCGATAATTGTATTTAATCTTGAACGTTTCGACCCTTGTTTAGAATCATCTTCAACAAATATAGAATACTCAATTTAACTTCTACTCGCTGTAACACTCGGTCCTGGGAGAGAAGCTCTTTCCTGGATGAAATGAAGGAGCGATGCCGACTAAATGGTAACAAACATTGCGTGCTTTCGGACTCCTGAGATTGTAATATCGGCTGGACGTTGAGACGTTACTCAATTGCCTGATGAGCTCACTGTTTGCTGTGCTTCCGAAACTTACAGCTGTGGCAGCAAAATATTTTTAGCAAACTACGATTAGCATACGGTAGCGAAAATTTGTTTTCAATGCGGGGACAATATCGAAGATCGACTTTCGTTTAACGACGGCTTTCGATCAAGTCTTGCGTATGTACCGTGTCCGTTTTATGTATTTCAAGTGCGGAAAGTAGCGCAGTGCTGTGTGTGCAAAGATAGACCTACATATGCACGCCGTTTCGAGCGATTGTTTAGAAATGAGAGAACTCGCAAGGCGAGTTGCGAAAGCTTCGCGGTGCTTTCGCAATAAACGTGAACATATATAACATACTTGACTCGCTATTTCTCACCAAAGTGCGTTTTTATGAAAGGCAATAAGGAAAAGACAGGAGTATGTTTTCTTCCTCTTGTATTTCTGTTCGTATGCATTTCTTTTGCATTTCTTTTAATGAAGTTTGGAGCAATGACAAAAATTGTTTATACACAATCATATATGCATGCATAAGTGTAATCGTATATAAAATATGATTATACATAGAATACTCCTTTTAATCGCGATTTCGTTTTTATATGAAAAATGGAAAATGTATTTTTTAATTTTTTTTTCTTAAATACGCGAGTAAGGTACAAGATAAGATACAAGAAAACATATCTGGACGTAGAGGAAAGTTCCGTATCATGAGATAAGCTTCTAATATGAGACATTAAGGTCCCAGGTTCTCGAATCCTGGCTGGGGTAATATTTTTCGCAATAAGAATTTTAATTCAATAGGGGAAAGGGTAAATTTATAATGCTAAGTATAGCATTAAAATTAAATTAACATAATGTGTAAAAATCGCTCTGCGATTTTTAGAATATGTGAATTCTCTCACTGACGATAATGATCCTACCTGGGGAAAAATCTGTGTTATATGTCCGATAGTAACGGCGCGCAGTACAGAGTAGGAGAAATACAGTATATGGATTCACTAAGCAATTTAATGGCCACCACCTTGCCTAGGTCCTAATTCAATGGGCGTTTAAATTTCAATTTGATTGATGAGTCATTAAGTTATAACATCCAAGCACAAATCTTCTCGCGCACAATAATTATGCGATCTAACAATGAATTTTCCGCTAAACAGATTTCACTTCGAGGACAATAAATTCGTGATATGTCTAATTTAGTAGAAACACCGCTATCTCAAAATAGAATTTTCTTCCATCTATAATTACGTTTGAAAAATGTTTTCCGGGATTCTGTAAGGTACAAGACAATGAGGTCTTTTGAATTATCTTAAAAAGTTACTACTTCAATTTTTAACGTATGTATATAAGCTGTCCGGTTTACTAGCAGCTTTCCGGATAGCAAGCTAACGTTATTTATCGTCATTTTGGCATCAAAATGACAAGAGGCAACGTTGGGTTGGCAGCCAATTCGGCCAGAAATTAGCGTTAATCGTGCCTGCGTCAAGCTCACGTTTTCTCGACAGAGCCTACTGACAGTGGGTCGAAAGCAGACTCTGCTCTATTTCCGCCGCGCATTTGTGTCAAACTGCGTAGTCAAACAGGCAAAATAAGTAATGTATAATGTATGGCAAAGTCCGTCTAATTTCTGGAATCATCATATTTTAGGTTTGTTTTCTATCGCTGCACTGGTGAACTAATAAATTAGAGTCCC